GTAAATATACAAGTAATAATTTGATAAGTCGAAAAAAAAAATACATAACAATTATGTAAAAATTGGATCGAGATGTAAATATCGATATTTTTAATTTTTATAAGGTGGGGAACAAGGTAACTTTGAGATGTTAATAGTTTGATTTAATTTATGTTTTATTATTTTTTTATTTATTTAGAAATATAATAATCTGTCACGTGTACAATAATTATAGTGATATATGAACACATTCACACTATATATAAATAAAATAACCTAAAGATAAGTAAATTAAAAACATAAAAACATAGTCATGCCTACATATACATAGTCATGCCTACATTGTATACGATATATACAATCAGGCAGGGAATCCCAAGCAAGACTTCTCCCTCCAACTATAGAAGGAAAAGCAGGACTCCTAGAGATCCCTGGTGCAAAAACCAGTGGAGTTTGAGAGAGAGCGCTTTAACCACACACATTCATGTCTTGAGTGGAAAATCTGGCCATTGCTAGAACTCCAAGATAAATTCTACAAAATATCTCTGGGCCACTGCCACTTCAACCTTCTAGGAGGATTGTAAGGATGAGTGGAACTAGATAGGGATTGTGCTAGAGGATTTGGATGATTTATAAGATTCTGATGGAATTCCGAAAAATTTTGAGGGATAAGGTCAAGGGAAAATGGGATATTAAGGTCATGATGTAGGGTTTTGATGGTTACATAGAACGGAGCATCGACTATTGTTCGGAAGACTATAGACTGAAAGGATTGGATGCGTTTGATATTAAAAAAATTTGCTGTCATCCACAGTTCAAGGCCATAGGTTTCAGGATTGTCTTGTAAATCAGTAATTTGTTGTTAATTGAAAGATGAGATTTTCTAGTCAATACTCTGTATAATTGTATCGTTGTGTTATGTTCTTGTATTTTAAGTGTAATATGTGGGTTTCACGTTAGTTTGCTGCCTAAGAGAAAGCCAAGATACCGGATCGTATCTGAAAAAAGAAGCTGGATGGAAAACTTAATCCATCAGATATTAACTTTGAAATGTAAATACTGAAGTATGTATTTGGCTGTCTTCGTAAGATGTCTACAGCAACAATTATTTTTTTTTTTTAATTATTTTCCTTTGTCTTTCTGAATATAAGTGAGCTTGGTTTTTTTCTCTGATGATGCCTGGATTGGCGAAATATTGGCAAGTTAACAATACACATGTATGTTTGGAGACTCGTAGCTTTGTTTTTTTGGATTATTCCATTTATAACATAATTATTTTGTAATATTTATTCATTTTAAGTTTAACTATATACATATTATTATTATTACTGCTTACTATATTCTCAATATTTATATGTTGTCTTGTCTTTGCTTAACCTAGATGAATGCCTGAAACGTTGCAAAAAAATTAAGGTAGTAAAGTAATGAAGTAAACAACAATAAAATAACGGTAACAACTTAATGAAATTAACACAGCAATGGATAATTAAATAAAAAAACAACGGAAATAAACATAATTTATTTATTTTTATTGACTGAAAACCCTAACCAACGTCTCTTCAATATATCTTCTACAGTCAGCTGTTATACAATATCATTACACAATTATAATATACTAAAATATATACTCATTCCTTAAAAACTATATGTAAGAACGTGTTGAGGAAAAATTAAAAAAATTACTATATGAAAGCAGTATAGTTCGTATAATTACCATTATTAAAAAGAAAAAAAAACTTAGCCCCCTCCAAAATTAAATCTTGAATCTGATGCGAATTGGCAGTTTCCTGATCTCGATTCAACAATCAGCCATTTCCCACTTAGGGAGAGGCAGGAGGAGACCGGTTTGTAAAAAAGGGAATTTCAAATCTGATAAAAAAAATAGGCAGCACTTTCTCAAAATACTGTCATTCAACTGTTAGCTAATATAATTTTTTATTTTTTAACAAAGGCGTAGTACTGATTGGGTAGTAAAAAGAATTTGAAATAACCGAAATAACGCTTCAAATTATTTTAATCTCTTCAGTTTTAATCTTCAATTAACATACCAGGTTTTACCTCTCCAGCTAGGCAGGCTTCAGCCGTAGGCTATTGCTGTATCTTTGCAAAATATATTTTATTAAATTAACCTAACAATATCTCCAAAACTATTGATATCTTTGATCTTGTACGAGGTATGTGGTTGATCGATCCACATAAAAAAACGTCTGCCAAGTAAGGTCAGTATAGCTTCCTCACCGTTTCCGTTGTATATTACAAGGTATACAATTTTTCGTATGAGAATAAAATCTCTGAGAGAAGCAGAATCGGAATAGCCGATTACAGTTACCCTTCAACATTCAACAAAAGAGGGTCGTATTTGAATATTCCATACTTGATTATGCTTAATAAAAAAAAATAAAATAAAAAAAAAGCATACTAAACATGAATTTCAATACTGTTAGTTCAAAAGGTCTTATGTATAAATTTATTTATTGTTTTACAAGAGTGCATAAAAACTCAATATTTCTTTATGCTTTATTAGAATAATTTCATATTTTATTTTCATCTGCTATTTTCCATAGTAGCAGACTACTTATATCAGTTGCAGACTACAAAATATCACCTTTAATACACATAGAATTAAAGTTGAAAATTATTATATACGAACTTATGCTCTAATAATAGTATATACATTACCAAATCAAGATTTAAATTTGTAGGAGGGGCTTCAGCACGAAAGATTTATATATATATATATATATATATATATATATATATATATATATATATATATATATATATATATATATATATATATATATATATATATATATATATATATATATATAAAACACTGCAAATTATTTCTCTTTGGTATATTATTTCCAAACAATTATACATATAAAGTAACATTAAATTCCTAGTTATAAAGAAAAATAAATAAAAGGTGATTCTAATTATTGGACTATAATTTTTTTTAATCATTAGTAATATGCTAAAAAAAAAATTTTTAAAACCTTTTGCAATAGCACATCTAAAGAAAAAAAACTAAAGACCATATCATTGCACCTAATTGTCCGATTTTGACGAATTTTTTTTTTGTTTTTTAGGAAATTCCGTAAACTTCTAAAAAAACATATACAATATTGACATAAAGGTGTATACTTCTTGAGTTATTCGGAATTTAATTTTATCATCCCTCGTAACTTTTTTTGAGCTTCTTTTCGTTGAAGTATGTAGTATAGATAAATTTAGAGGGCGTAGAGAAAATGACTTTAGCGAAGTTTCATCAAAATCGGTACATTCGTTTAGGCGCTAGAGTCTATAGCAACGCAGGTTTTTTGGCCGCCATTTCGAAACTAGAAGGCGAATAGTAATGTCGTTGAAGGAGGATGATCCTCGGGTGACCTCTGATTTTATATCCAAATTCGAAAAAAATCGGTCTATTAGTTTCAGAAAAAAATGCGCGGACGGCGGACGGTGGACTAGTAGTGCACATATAAGAGAAAGTGTTGGACACAATTCAATGAAATTGACACTAAATTATTTTTTCACCAAAGTCTACCTTTTATCTAACTTTGAGTCAAATCGAACGAGCCCTTTCTAAAATATTGGCATATCTAAAAATATACGTTTGCGCGTGCGTAAGCGGAAGTGCTGGATGGAATTTGATAAAATTGATATGGGACCATCTAGACACTAATCAGCATAATCCCTGAAAATTTCCTGAAGATTGGATAAACGGTACTAGGTGATATGCCCGTCACATCGATTTGACTACAGACAGGCAGACAGACAGACACCGAACCAAATTTGATCCTTGATGTCTGAAACGTAAAACGTGAGTGAAAATTTTCGATTCTGAGCAAAAAAAAATTTTTAATCTCTCGCACGAACACAATGCTTCCCTACCTTCGGTAGTGAGGAAGCAATACGAAAATCTTGGCACGAACAGTAACACTAAAAAGAATCGAGCAGTGGCGTCTCACATAAACAACTTATTCCTGTCTTGGATTTATCCACTTTTTTCTTTTCTTAACAATTAAAAGCAACTCAATTCTGTATTTCTGAAACGACAAGAAACCCCTCGACGTTTCCGATTACTCCACCACTTATTAGACAAACGCTCTATACTTCATATTAATTACAAAAGTCTCAAATACATGACTAAAATAAGGCCAATTTGGACTTACGGAGTTGAGCTATGGGGCTCCACTAAACCATCGAATTCCTCTCGTATCCAACCCTTACAATCCAAAATCCTTCGTAAAATCCTCAATGTACCCTACTTTGTTACAAATAAAACCATCCATAATGACCTTAATGTTTCCGATTTGGTCCAATCCAGATACCTATCCTGCCATAATAAACTTCAGAATCATCACAACCATCTCCTTTTTAACCTTGCTTTCTCTTCAATTCCTGATAACCCTCTAGGTGTCTGAAAAGAAGATGGCCCCTGATCTCCTAATCTCCTAAAGACTTATCATTAGAGTGCTACCATTGGGTAGTTTCTCAACAAGTGTTTTCACGTCATTATATCCATATATTCAAATTTACTAAATGTATTTCTTTTATACAGTTGTAAATGTCATTAAGAAATAAAAAAAAAACAAAAAAACATATTGATTATTCTGACTTACATGAGAATTTTTCCAAACCAGGTCATTAAAATAATTTTATTGATGATTTTATGACTATTGTTGTTCTTGTAAGATTTTAGAAAATTGCTTTTAGGGACAAAATATTACAATAAAAAATTCTTCTTAAATAGATTTTTTATTTACAAAATAAAAAATGTGTGATTAAAAAAGGTCTGGTTTGTATAAAAAAATATTTATTTAATATAAGAATTATATAAAGATCCAACAAAAAATAAATAACCAGAATAAGGTTGTTTGTCTAAATATTTATTTAATTTATATTCTGGATCTAGTATCAAATATTTAATAAGTATAAATATTCTCAAAAAATATCCTTAATGTCCTTAAAACTACTCAATTTTACAAAAAATTAATAAAAAACAATTTCAAAAACAGGTCCTGGTTGGGCTACACCCGCGGATGCAATCAAGAATGCAAAGAGAGAGAAGCTGCTTTATATTACCTGCGTTCAATTGGACCCAACCAAACCAGATTATCTAGCTACAGTTGATATAGATCCTGAAAGTGAAACTTATACTAAGGTAATAAAGTCTCAATGGTCATATAAATATATATATATATACATCTTCTTGCCTATAGGTATAACATAAAAAATAAAATAAAAAAAAAACTGTTAATTTTAGTGCTCTACACATTTCAGGAATACTTTTTTTTCCCTCCTTAGCTTCTAAAATTATATAAATGAGTCGTTTATTTCAAAAGTGAACACTAATATATTTTTATTGAAATTGAGATACATATGATTCCCATGTAAAAATATCTAATGAATTCGATGATGCAATTTTTTTTTTTTTAAATAACATACATACGCATATCTCAAAAACAAATGGTGTGAAAATAAGTTTTTTTCATCAAAAGCCCTTTTTCTTATGGAATATAATGAAATTTGCATTTCTTAAGTATTACTAAAAAACATAATCTATGAAAAACTTTTTAACTGTTTTATCCGAATATAAATTAAAAATAAACTTATTTTATTGTAGAAGAAATTTAGTCGACTGTTTTACCTATCATGGGTGATAAATATTCAGGACACAGTCATTATAATGTTTTTATTAGTGCCAATGTTTCAACCCAAACATATGGGTCATCATCAGGGTGTGGTTCGAGCACTGAAAGTATTCAAGTACTGACCAACATCGGCACTAATAAAAACCTTATAATGACTGCGTTCTCAATATATATCAACCATTATTTTATTGTACCCTTGTTGTAAACAAAAAGTCAATTTTTCCAAGTAAAATTTATATAATTTTCCTTTCCAAATCAAACACCACTTTTTCTCATAAAAACAAAACAACCAAAAATGCGCCTTGAAGTTTAAATCTTTCCAAAATGGACCCTATTCAAGTTTCAATGTTTTTTTATTACTACTGAAATAGTAACTTTCAGATATATGTTCTACAAATAAAGAATTTCTTATATTATTTTTTAAAATTTATTGGTTTTGATATTACAATAGGAATAGAAAATAGTTTTTCGCTTTTCCTGAAAAATTGTTAATGATGGTTAGAGTTTACTATGGAAATAAATGACTCAAAAAATATTTTATAGGCTCTAAACTAAACTAGTCATTTACATTTTTAAAAGTAATAACATTATTAATTTAATTTAAATAATTTTATATTTAAAAAAATATTATTAAGACAATATAATCAACTTACATAATTTTTCATGGTATTGGGTATTTTAGAATAAGCTTAGTTAATGATCAAACACACAACTAAAATGACCAAAGTACATTTAGGGTTGAGAAGGGTAAATACTATTTTTTTTTTTTTTTTATGATTTGGTTTCAGGTATTTAGAATAAACTTTATAATGGTATGGAGATAGTTGGCCTTAAGTTTTAATTTCAGAAGAAGTCAGTTAGGGTGCGATCAATATATAAAATACTATATTATATAACAGTATATTTATTGCATTGTCTAACGTTTTCACCTACATTGTAGGTATTATTCAGGGCATTCCGTCTTGCACTGCTGACTTGACTCACTGTCACCATACTGCCTTCAATAGTGCCAGACGGAATGGACCGAAGAACACCTACAATGTAGGTCAAAACGTTGAAAATATAATAAATATACTATTAAATAAATATAGTATTTTTTTTACCCCACCTGCAACTAACTTCTTCTGAAAATAAACATTAGTTCTTCCTTTATGATTAATTTGTTTTCCAGATATTTTTTTATAAACATATTTTCTATTGATATTATTTTAATTCTTTTCTCAATATTTTAACATGGCTAAAGTGATTTCATGAGTTTTTTTTTTCTACTATATGTGCTCAAAGCTGTATGGTTTTGATCATATATTGAGTTTATATGTTGTTTTATTCTTTTTTTAAGGTTTTGCAGCGATTCTCCAATGTAAATTTTTTTGTAAAAGCATTGTAATTGATGTTACTGGTATCCATTTTTTAAATGCTGTATTTTATTTGTGATCATTAAACAAGCTTATTCTAAGACTTACCTATTACTGAGGAAAATTACATTAATAGATTTAATTGTCTAAATAATGTTTTCTTAATACAAAATTATTAATTTTTTTTATGTTCTTAGTTTTAAAAATATAAGTGACTGGTTCATCATCTAAAATTATGTAATTTTAGATTCTGTGAGATAGACAAATTATCTCTGAAACGAACAAATAAAAATAATAAAGAATAAAACTATAAATTGTTTAATAAATTAAACGTGAGTACAAGAAGTGAAGAGAAAAAAATTACAATTTGTTATTAACGATTTGATTTTTTTAGGTGATCCACAGATTAAAGATGCCAAATGTTAGAGATGAACTTCATCATATGGGATGGAATTCATGTTCAAGCTGTTTCAATGACCCAACTAAATCTCGGAATAAGCTAATTCTTCCAGGTATTGCTTCAAGCCGGATTTATGTAGTTGATACATCGAATGAAAGAGCTCCAAAACTTCATAAGGTATAAATTAAGTGTTAAAATTATTTTTAAAAAATCATTCAAGAAATTAAAGTCAAAATGTTTATTAAAAAAAATAAATTTAATAAGATCAGGACTCTTAAAAGGTTATAGAAAAAGAAGAAATGGTACCATTTGGTGTAACTTCAGCACACACAGCTCACTGCCTTCCAGATAATACTGTCTTACTTTCTACACTTGGTGATACAAAAGGAAATAATTTAGGAGACCTTATATTATTGGATGGAGAAACCTGGAAAGTTAAAGGTAAACTCAGTTTCTATGAAATAAGAACTGAAATAATTATGCTTCTGCAATATAATAACGATAACATGTTTTTAAGAACATATGTTCATTATAGATTATAATAGCATGTGGAGGAGGAAGTAGCAAACTTCATGATTAAAATAAAAATTATTTTTCACAATCAAATAAGAACTTATAATTATGAATTACTTTATTACATTTTTAATTGTTGACTCCAATTAATAATTGAAGAGAAGGATGGTTGGGGTGATCAATCAAAATAAAAAATAGCAAAAATAAATAATTTTATTTATTTTTATATTTGTCGACCTTTCGGCCCGATGTTCAGGCCTTTATCGGGGCTGGTCAATCGAAGGAGTGTGGAAAGACGAAACATAATTATAAAATTATATTTTGAAAATTAACATTTAATAACTTGTTTAATATCTAGGTCTATGGACCATAGGAAGGGAGAAAGACGAATTCGGTTATGATTTTTTGTATCAACCAATTACATTTTATACTTTCCTACCTATACTAGGTAAGGAAAGTATTGCAATTGGATAAAATTTCCAAAATGCGGTTTTCGATGGATCTATACGTTTCAGAGCCCCCTGAGTCCTACAAACACATTTTTAGCCATTGGTCTGTCTGTCTATGCCAAGATTTTCTCAGAAACTACTGAACCGATTTTGTTGCTTCTTTTTTTTTTTGTAGGGTTTTGACTACTGATGCCTGTGACAGAAATTCGGTGCTCCATGTGCAATAGCTTGCGCGCAATAAATGAAAAACATGTTTTTATATTAAGGAACTATTAAGGAAGTTACAGCTATTCAATTTCCAATATAAGATTACGGTTTCATATCCTGGTGTCAGAAAAGGGGTGAATGAGAGAATAAAGATGACTAAGTGAAAGTAATAAAGTCTGTTGCCTGCATCACACAATCTTCACTATTTCCTCTATTTTTAACAGAAATTATTGTTTGGCAATACTAAGCCATGGCAAAAAGTTTTTGATCAGCAATATTAGGAAGTATTGAAATTTTTACACTGATCTACCAAGCGGGTTTACATTGCTTTAGTTTATCAAATAAATCGTACTCAAATCTTATGTTTGATCTATTTTCAGGAAAATGTATCTAGTTCAATTCTTTATTGTTTCTTCATGAACATATGTAAAGATATAAAAACTTTTCTGAAATAGGTAGGAAAGTCATGTGAGTGGACACACCAGATATTTCTTTAATATTTTTCTTCATCTACTTCATGATATCTATTTCAGAAATATTTTCCAAATTTTGTCACATATTTATTAACATACAAAGGGCACTAGGAAATTTATGTGATACAACATTATTTTCTGAAATTTTTCAAAATAGTTTCCACTGCACAAAATACACTACTCCATCCTTCTAAACCAGTCTTCAAAGTAACCTTACGAGGTTTCTTTTGCAATCTGGGGCCACTCATTATTTCAAGCCCTCAAAAGGTCAACATTGCTTGTGAAATGAGTTTTCCACCCGAGAGAAAAGAGCAAGATTGCCTGGAGCTAGATCTGGGCTGTATGGAGGATCACAAACGGATCTACGGGAGGGGCTTTCGGGCTGATGCCTCCCCCCCCCCAAAAAAAAAAATTAAATCCTGGATCTGCTAGTGTGGAGGTTGGCCTAACAGTATTCTAGTGGTAACCAAATATTCTACGCAAACTTTGGGAAATGCACTGGAGCATTATCATAGTAGAGGAACCTTGAACCCACTCTTGAGTTTGACCGAAATTCCTGGAGATGTGAGATGGAGATAAAGAGCACCACTTTAGGGAGATGTTACTCAAAGTACCACCTGCCTCTGATAATCCTCTACGATTCTAGTACCACTCAATCCAAAACACCTTCATCCTAAAAAATACCACCATCATTCTCTTCCTACTGGATTTCCGGACAGTCACGAGGGTATCCTCAAATTCAAACATCCACTCTCTGCTTGGAGTCTTAGTTAGGATATCATAGCAGACTAAATCTTTATATAATTTTATAATTTTTATTATGTAGTAATATTTTTATATTAAGAGGTTACCATCATGTCCCATAGTATCCTTTAATAATACCCCACTTATCCCTGTTGAACAAATCTGATACCTTGGACTTCACTTGGACAAACGTCTAACTTGGAATCCTCATACCAGACTGAAACGTCAAGAAACCGCTCGACGTTTCCGACTACTCCAACACTTACTAAACAAATACTCTAAGCTTCCAGTTAATTACAAAAGACTCATTTACATGACTCCAATAAGACCTATTTGGACTTACGGAGTTGAGGTTTGGGCCTCCACGAAGCCATCAAATTCCTCAAGTGATTTCATGTTATTATTTTCTGTTGTCAAATTTACTAAATGTATTTTATTTATTAATACAGTTGTAAATATTATGAATAAATAAAAAAAAAGAGGTTACTTCAATAATAAAACTGAAGGTATGTCATGATGACGGTAATTTCTTGTTTTTATTTTATTTTGATCTATTATTATAAAATTATATTTTTTAAATTAACATTTAATAACTTGTTTAATACCTAGGTCTATGGACGACAGGAGGAGAGAAAGGTGAATTTGGTTATGATTTTTGGTATCAACCATATTGGGACGTACTCATAGCTACTGAATTTATATCACCTCATAATTGGTTTAATGGAAACACGTTTGAAGTAATTAAAGACAAAGGTATTACGGTATATTTCAAATTATGAAAAAATTTTGAAATAATCCACTAGAAAAAAATTAAATATGGACTTTTTAATTTATCATATTATTAAATATAGAATCAGTAGATAAATAAGCATTTGTATAAGCAATAAATGAATAATTTAGTCTGTGGTACAGACCCCCTTATATCAAATTATTAACATCCGCCTCAAACTTCATAAATAGTTTTATCCCATCGTAATATATGAATATTATATTTAAGAAAACTCTTGAAATTGGGGCGTTTTCAATCTGGAGGGGATCAAACTTTGTCTATTTAATTAGGTACTAAAAACTTGTAAATATACATTTGCTTTCTACTTGGATCGTAACATAATTTGAGAAAAAAATTGGGAAAAAAGGCGGCCTTCAAAAATATTGAACTGTTTGGCGTGACCTACACCCCCAAATTTTTAAAATAACGTGGTTATACAGGACAAACGGCCCAATATGTTTGTAGGCCACCTTTTTTTATCTATTTTGGGATCAAATTATCTTAAAACTAATTAAATGGACAGAGTTCGCCCCCTATAGATTGGAAACGCCCCAATCCCAAGAGTTTTCGTAAATAAAATATTTGTAGGTTACAATGAGATTAAATTATTTACGAAGTTTCAGACAGATGTTAATAATTCTATAAAAAGGAGTCTGTACCACGGACTAATTACTAATAACTTCTACAACTTGACCACGCATACCTAGTGTGATCTCATGTGGCACTAGTTGAAATTAATATTTTGTTTTTTCTCAAATCCTCTCTTATTAGTTACAAAATATTTTCAAATATATAGGTATATTAGAAGATCACAATATATTCTAAGATAAAAATATATTTGTAATTAATATAGGAGCATTAAAGAAAAAAACAAAATGTTACTTTCTACTTAGAACTGCCTGAGCTCACCCTTGCGTGTCCACAAATTCATAATAATAAATTTTATTATTTATTAATTCATATGATAAACTTTTATTTTTAAGATTTGAGTGGAAGAACATTAAATGTATATTCTTGGAAAGAAAAAAGACTTATTCAGAAAATTAATTTAGGAGATGAAGGAGCTGCACCACTTGAGGTAATATTTAAGTTTATATTCTTCTATAAACAATAACAATCTCATTTAAATAATTTATTCGAATAATATAATGTTAGTATTTTTATGAATTTTTTTTCTTAATTATCATAACACTTTCTAACATAAGTTTTTCAAGGAACTTTTACGAAAATTTTCTATGAAGAAAACTTCTAGTTCCAGAAGAACAAATAAACAGTAAAAAAAAATCCTTTTTTTATCAAAACTGATTGAGATTAATATGTGAACATTCAATATCAATTACTGATATAAATGGAATTTTTCTAATAATGTATTCAACAGTATCATTTCCCTCAAATTTCATCAGAGAATTAACAATTTAATTAAATTATAATAACTTTTCCTCATAATGTATTGAATTTTAATAATCTTTTGTATTTAGATCAGGTTCTTGCACGATCCTAAATCACAACAAGGGTTTGTTGGTTGCGCATACCCATCAACAGTTTTCAGGTAATATGTAGTATAATATAAAACAGCATTATTAATATACTTTTTTTATATTATATTATTTCTCTAATATTGAATAAATATATCAGTAATAATAAAAACGCATAATTTGATCACAATAGTCCTACTTTTTTCTACACCAACGTTTCAGAACTTACACCATTTTAAAGTTTGAAACCTACAAGTTTTAATACATATATTTAATTAAATACATTTGTTTCTAAAGGATTTTCAAGAAAGACGATAATACATGGGGCACTGAAAAAGTCATTTCGGTTCCTAATGTCAAAGCAACGAACTGGGAACTCCCGATAATTCCTGGTAATATCAATTGTTAAACTTATATTTTAATATTTACGCTTTATTCTTCTTTATTGTCAATAAAAAATTGAAATAATCTTTATTAATTTAATGTTTCATTAAAAAAGGACTCATCACTGACATATTGATATCTATGGACGATAAATGGTTGTATATATCAAACTGGCTACAAGGCGAAATACACCAGTATGATATTACCAACCCATCGAAACCAAAACTTGCGTCTACTATATCTCTTGGTGGTCTTCTGACACAAAAAGGAATTGTGGACGCATTGGATGCAAAGGTAATTTGTAAATTAAAGTAGTTCAGACCTTAGTGGTCTCAGACAGTAAATTAATCTATTATAAAATTCTCCAAATTTTCACTACTTCAGGCATCTTCAGAGATACAATCTGATTTTAAAACATTTTTTCAATGTTCATCTGAAAAATATATTAAAAAATCTCTCAGAGGACTTCCTGGTAGACACTATTTCATGGATATATTCATAATAATATATATACCTCCACACTAGCGGATCCAGGATTTAATTTTTTTTTTAATTTTAATTCCAAATATACATGCTTGTAAGACAATTACAGTCAAACATATTTTTAAATTAAATATATATTTTTTAATCTTATGTAGTGAAATTAAATATTTCTAATTAGAATAATGAGATATTTTACAGAAATAATAAAACCATAAAATAATTGTATAGCCTTATATTTTTATAAATTTTATATTTTAATTATGATAACTCCTCTCCTTCCCTGGAAGGATTAGTCATATTCTGTGTATACGGGAATCTAGGTGTTCAAAGCTAGGCCCCACTTTACGCAAATAGGTTTTGTCTATTTTATGCATATATTTTCGGCTTGTTACAATTTTTTTTTTTTAATGCTTTTATTGAATTTATCAATGGATTAGTGTCTATGAGTAAGTCCTCTACGAGATTTTTAATATATTTTTGAGGTGAACATTAACAAAATGTTTTATAAACACATTGTGTCCCTAAAAATGCCTGAAGTGACGAAAATTTGGACCAATTTCATAATTAATTATTTTATTAATTGAAATTATTAAGGCCTAAAGTACTACCTATACTACTACTATACTACTAAATTACTACAAATAGAATCATAATAAGTCATATTTTATATTATACAAATTCACTCCTCGGCTAACATTAATGCAGTGTTAGATGCCTAAGTGTGTATCCTGGAGACCACACTGCAAGATCCTTCCCTTCAGTTAAAAGGAATAATAAAAAATCCATATAACAAGCTAATATTTTTTTAATAATTTATTTATATCTAAAAAGACTGTTGTAAAATATTCTAGGAACCACTTATTATCCAAGGAGTGAAAATGGAAGCCGGCCCTCAAATGATACAACTCAGTTTAGATGGCCGTCGTCTTTACGTCACCAATTCACTATTCTCCGCTTGGGATAGGCAACTGTATCCTGATCTTTGCAGGTATAATATAATCCTAATTTGGTTTCTCTCTAATAGAACTTTCAAATCTTATATCTTTTTATATACTTACATAAAATGTTATCAATATTCTATTATTAGTTCTCATAAATAAGTTATTAGAAAGGTTTTTTAAAAAATTTGAAATCATACAGTTTGTCATTTGTCATTTCTTCACTTACAATAGAAGATGAGAAGAGCTGTTTTCTAAAAATATGCCATGTTCTCAATTCTTTTTCTTAATAACTTTTAAAGGACTAATGTATATAACCAATCAATGAACATTGAAGTAAAACTGAGATTCTTTGATTAAAGTTTTCTCTTATTTACTTATTTTATTTTATATTTTTAAGAGGAGGAAAAGATAAAAATAGATAATAATTAACTAACTCCCCGGCGCTACAGACCAGCATGACTCTTGGCCTCCTGAGTTATTTTTCTCCACTTCTCTCTGTCCTGTGCTACTCTCATCCAATTGAGAACTCCTAGCTTCTTCGCATCTCTCTCCACTTCATCCTTCCATCTGCTTCTCGGTCTTCCTCTTTTCCTCTTCCCACTGAAGTGTGCTTACAATATTTCTCTCTACACCCGTTCATTCTCCATTCTGACTACATGTCCTGCCCATCTAAGCCTACTTGCCTTGATATAGTTAGTAATGTTTTGATTCTCAAGTATAGCCTCGATTTCATTGTTACCTTTGACTTTCCACTCACCTTTAACACTTGTAGCACCGTAAATCCTTATTAAATCTTTATTATTATTTTCCTTTCAAATACTTTTAGTTTACGGCAATCCTCTTGCGATAAACACCAGGTTTCCGCTCCATAAGTGACTACTGGTCTAATAAGTGTTTTATACAACTTTATTTTTGTGGCTTTTGACAACAATGGAGTCTTGAGAAGTTTTAGGTTTGTATAGTAAGCTCTATTACCAGCCATTATTCTGTTGTCTATTTCTCTGTTGATTACATTTTCATTATTTTGGACAGAACCAAGATACACGAATGTGGGTACATTTTCGAACTTAAAATTCTTTATTGTAATTTCATTGCAGGATCTTCTACTTGCTGCCGAGGACAGTTTCAGGTATTTAGTTTTGTTTTCATTGACCACAAGTCCTACTTTGTTGCCATTATCGTACACATGTTTGGGTTGAAAACTCGGCACTAATAAAAACTTATAATGACTGCTTCCTGAATATTTATCACCCATTATATGTAGAACAGTCGACTAGCTTCCTTCAATATTTTAATCTATAGTTTTAAATTAAAATTTAGATCATTATAAATGTACCAAAAAGAGGGTTGCTAGGGACACATTGTACCATCAAAATTTTTTAAAGGGAGTATATTTTTACAACATTATAAATTTTTGAGGAAAGGACATTTAACTGCCAAAATGTAACCCGTTTATGTATTTTTGGAGAAAATCATATTTTTGTGGGGTTTCAATTTGGAAAACTTTGGACCAAATGAAGTGTAACTTTTTTTTTTTCCACCCCATCCTCACCTCAGGCTATATGGGGTTTTTCCGGAACATGCGTGAGGGTGGGGATTTAATGGCTGAATTAAAAGCACTCTGTTATCTTCGGTTTATCAGTTTGCAGGGCAATACACATGTTAGCCCACTCGGCCACCCAGCTCTTAAATAAGATATAACTGTAACTATAACTATTAATTCTAATTTTACTTTCACCATTTTTAAGAAGAGATGAACAGTAAAGGTTTTTGAAGAATGATTTGTGTTATTACCCTTGGAGGGGATTAACATGCTAGTTTAGTAATTCGATCAGAGATTACCAATACACCAATACATGAAGAGATAAGAAAAAAATCTGTTGAAATTAAAATTATAAGATATGTTAACAAAAATGTCCTATTTTTCTAAAATGACACAAATATTTTCTTTTTTTTTTGTTAATAGTAGAAAAACGATGAATGTTATCTATTTTTTTTTTCAGTTTCAATAAATGGATCAATTACATGAGTTAAAAAGATTTTATTTTTAGGAATGGATCTGTATTACTTCAAGTAGATGTTGATCCAGTTAATGGCGGAATGAAATTAAATGAAAATTTTTTAACAAACTTTGGTGCTGAACCCGATGGACCAGTATTAGCTCATGAGTGCAGGTAATATTCACTGTTAAATCAGTTAGTTCATTTATTTATTTTTGGGCTATAGCTCTACAAAATCATAGCTAATCTTTACTTTAATGTTAAAAATATTATTCCTGTTTTTTAAATACATATATATATATATATATATATATATATATATATATATACATATACATATACATATACATACACATAATATATGTATATTATTATATTATTAACTCTCTAGTATTTATATATATATATATATATATATATATATATAAATAAGACAAGAAAGATTCTTTCTGTTTTTAGATATCCCGGAGGTGATTGTACTTCTGACATCTTCCTAGCAAAAGACTAATATTCCACTTCTAGTCTAGAATCAAGTCAATCCTGGATGATGAAAGATGACTAATTATGCACCAATTAGAAATATCCAGTACTGAATTAGATATTTTACATCCTAAATGTAAATTCATAATGTAATATATTGTGTTAAAGTCTAGTGGTCGACACCTGTATCGCTCCAAGATTAATGAAACTATGTTTAATAGTACCATATTGATAACCTTGTACAGATAATTCTGTTACAACTGCTTTTATATATAGTTTTTATTATAATTGTATTATAACTAATTGAACATTATGCCAAAATAAATAAACCTATACTATAAAGTAGAAGAGCATGTTCATTGGAACTTTTAAGAACCACCAACCTCATGTGTAAAACATATGTTTATAACCTTAAATATATTTACAGTAGTTAAATAACTTTAGACAAAATATTAAATTTAAATAGGTATATATAGACAGTTTATTCTGAAATATAAGTAACATGATAGAAAATTAAATTCGTGAATAATTCTATGAGTTTTCTCACTGTGAAATTACATTATCCACTTTTAATTAGTGTGATAACTGTTGATATATCGATGGTAAGCAATGAAAACCTCATAACTTCATTTTAGTAAATTTTACAGAGTAAAATTAAGATTTAATAACATGTAAATTGTTATTCAGAATTAGTTTCTATTAGTTTTACTATCTAGAACAATCCTTACGCATTTATGGATTAAATATATTTATGTCCTTCGAAATCTCTCTTTGTATACACAGTTCAGAGAATGGAGTTATATGGCTCAAATAGACAAATATAGCTGTGAGATATATATTGTCTATCATTAATATAATAAATAGAGTTTGTGCTATTTAAATGGCCTTAAGTTTTTACAGTTTACTGTAAAATATTTACCACCATTAAAAATGCACTTTAAAAACATTGTCAGAAAATAATTTCTGTTTAAAGCAGAGAGGTAAATGAAATATGTGTGATAAGAAAACCAGACCTTTTTTTTGTGAAGTCATTAAAAATAATTATGCAAATGAAATTTGAATGACAAAAGTAAAGGCTCATGTTTCATGGCTTGAAAAATAGTTTCTTAAGTATGAAATAATTACACTTTTTCATCAATGGTTGCTCATTCATCAATAGTTGCTCATAATATTTTATTTCTCTTTGAATCAAACAATAAACTTGAAAAAAAAATTCAGATGGCAGTAGTGAATTGAAGCTGTAGCAATAAAAATCTTTTTTTTTTTGCTTTCCAAACAAATCATTACTTTCCACCACTCAGTGCCACTAACATGTTGAAATAAGTGAATGATGCCTGCAATATCTGAAAATTATGAAGTTTGTTTAAATGTTATTGTATACATTTAGAATTAAAATGATATTTTTTGAGGATAGTATGTGTTTAGATTGTACCGTCATATAGTATTGATTCATTCAAGTTAAGTCAAAGGATTTACATCAAAATATTGAAAAAATGATAATACCTAATAAATAAAAAAATACATAACAGTAACATAGCCTGATAGTTAATGGCATATTCACACACCTAAACAAGAATACACTCAGTTACCACGCATGGTTGGCCCATGTTGGGAAATTGTCAGCAACATTAGTCAACAAAATATCAATGTTAGGCCGCCTGTTTATAATTGACTAAAAATCCATGAAAATGGCACAGTTCTCAATTTTGAGTAAACTATAAATCTAAGGAAATGGATTATTAAACTACATTTCCCCGACAATGAGCCACTAGAAAATAGAAACCCAAAGCATTAATGATATTTAAACAAGTAATTGTTTATATGACGAAAATAAACGAAAAAAAAAATGAAAAATAAACACCAAGGGGTCACAAACTAAAAAAAAATGTAAAATAAACACAAACGGGCCAAAAACTAAAAATAAACACAAACGGGCCAAAAACTAAAAATAAACACAAACGGGCCAAAAACTAAAAATAAACACAAACGGGCCAAAAGTAAACAATTTAATAAGTGAACGTAATAAGGGAATAACTGAAAACCAAACAATGCAATAACTCAAAAGTTTGGCAGGATAAGAAGAGGGAGGTTATGTAACATGATGACATGAGGTTAGATAAGATAGATAAGAAGTGAGGTTTCAAAACGGCCCCTTAGACTAAAAGTACCCTTCTTTCTAATAAAACTAGAAACAAAACTTAGCCTGTAGGTTTCTGAAACCTGGGGGTTCTAAAATTTTTTGCAAATATCAGCGGTGTCCAGAAGAGGCTTGTAATATGGGGCACGTTGTGCCATAGAAATTTTTGGATGCCAAATTTTTATATTATTTTGAAATTTTGAGGAAGACACATTTTAATTGAGTTATGAATAATTGGAAGGAACCATAATTTTTTAGAGTTCAGTTTGGACGAACTTTCAAAGCAGAAGAAAACATTTAACAGACACAGTAAGTGTAATTATGTTTGGTCTAAAAATTTTCCAATTCCACATTTGTTTGTACTCTTTTTAAGAAGAGGAGAGACATTGTTGTGCACTATGGTTGAGGAAATAACAATAATTAAAAACTGACAAACTATCTTAAATGAAGTGAAAAATATTTAGTTCATTCAAGTCCATTGATTTCAATGGTAAAATACCTCAATCTGGTGAAACAAGACGACCTGAGCCCCACAGACTGCAGTACATCTAATAAATATAGTTAAGTAATATTTTAAAGTAAAAATTGTTTAAATATAAATATCATACCTCTGATAATCCTTTAATAGAAAATTCATGGAGTCCAAAACCAGTGAGTTGCCTGGTTTTCTTACTTCCAACTAACATCATAAGTAGATCTCGCTGAACTGGCAGGGACATTGTATACCATTCTAAGCTGTATATCGTTATTCCAATCTCTTCAGTCTTTAAAAAGTGAAAGTACGTAAGTTTAACAATTTATTAAATCAAAAAGTAATAAATATGTATTCTTATTTAATAATTGTGAGAATTGCAGTTGTTTACAGGATTTAGTCCTTACTAGTGCATTGGTGTAACTTTCTAATACTATGCAATATGATATCACAATGAGCTTGGCAATTATTTATTAGGAATAAAATTTATTAGTAGTAAATATAAGAGAACGGAATAAAACAAAAAAATATTTTAGTTGACAATTTTTTTTTATAGATAAAGCAACTGCCATAAAAGAAAATTTCCCACAAAATTCACTATTTTTAATGAAGTTAGCGTTCTTTTGTTAATTTGTAGTAGTCTGTTGGTTGAAAATAAGTCTGCAATTGTAATTTCGGAGTTATTAACTTTTTTAAATAATAAAAAATGCAATTAGATAGATCATCAAATATGAATTTAAGATTTAAATCTTAAATCATATAATTCCAACAGTTGACCAACATATAACGACCCTATATCAACGATTTTACACAAATTTAAATGGACATAATAACAGACTTATAAGAGACATGGCCACAGCTGACATACCTCAGAACATGAGCAGGAGACTAAAAAGGCGTTGGATGAGGGATCTGCTTCCTTAGACAACCTAAATAATTGGAACAAGTTAGGGAAGAGGTACTGCTGAGTACTTTCCTTCCCCATACCTGTCATGTCATTATATCATTATCGCCATCACATTTGCTGATTGTCAACTTATTGTTGACAGGCGCAAATACATATTTTATAGACAAAAAAAAAAAAAAAGATTTAAATCATTTCATCTGGATACAGTGATTTGTAAAGATATTTGATAAAAAATCCGGACCTTATTTATTACAAATCTGCTACCATCTCCATTCCACTAATGTTACACTTTTTTTTCAATAACATTTTCTTCTCTATTGCACGGTTATGCAGGTTATACAGTAGGTTATCAATAATTGGAACTCCTGGTAATACGAACAAGAAAGAAAAAAAAAATGTTAAATTTGACTGACGAGAGATGGGACAGAAATGGCTCTATTTCTCAGAACATGTTAGTGGAATTGCTTCTGGTGAAAGTATCAAAATCATATTGTGGTGTCTCTAAACAGAAAACATTAAAATTAGGCAGTAAAATTTCTTTTGAAATGGTTTTTGCTGCAGAGATCATGAGGGTGTCCAACGTCTGCGGATATATTAGTTGAAAAGTCTAAGTATTCCTTTAATATTTTTCTAAAGAAGATGAGAAAAAAGATTTTAACGCCAGTAAAGGTTGAATTGATAATTCAAAAGCAGGAATGGAATACATTTTTTATGGTAGCCTTTCAAGAGCTGAGTTCCAGTGGTCAGATTCTGTTAGGACATTCGTCTTACATGGTCGTATCATACCAGTCTTCGCCATCCATTTCTCTGGTTGACGGATATAATATAACATAATATTTTACTATAAAATTTCTTTAAATCCGCAGGTCATGCAATATATGATTTCGGATTGTGAAGATCATCCTGTACTTACTATAATAATTACTAATTATCTACAAAATTTCAATATGTATAGTTAGAAACTTTTGAAAATATTGTAAGATTCCTCAAGAAAAAAAAAAACTAGACCACACGATATAAGTGAAAACATCAACAAGGCGGGATTAATAATATGATATATAAATTATATATATAATAGAGCATTATACAGAGGATTAAATTCTAAACCATTCTCTCGCTGACAGTATGCAAGTCCAATTTTTAGTTTTTAATCCATATCTTTAGTAAAACTTGTAATCATTTGGTTTTCGACATAATTTTTTCCCTTTCACTTCTCTATAACGGTGTCGTGTTAAGATACAATTTTGAATAATAGCCCACTACAAAGAGGATGCAATGAGGAACATTTCTCTCACTAACAATATGCAGATTCAATTATTAGTTGTTAAGATATTTTAATCTATATGCAATAACACTTCAATTAGTCGACTCCAACTTACTTTACCCAGATGTTACACATCCGAAATCTGACGGCTCAATCTAATTCACTATCCACAAAAAAGTGCTAAACGAGCGGCTTACAGTAGTTTTCATTTCAAAAAATATATCTTTTTTACCTTGTATTAATACAAGGTAAGATCAATGGTAATTGTGCAATAATACAGTACATATATTTTTAAAAAAGAAATACGTACAGATCTAAGAGAAACTTAAAAATGATCGCAACGGCATTCAATTAATTTTGGATAATTCCAACTAATAACAAAACATTTAATTAAAATAAATAGTTTTATACATACAACATCAGCAATTTTTTGTCCAAGAACACAATAATATCCTGCAACGCAAAGCTCAGGTATCAGAACAAATAAAAGAGAACCTGCCATTGCCATAGTAGTCTCAGGAGACTAAAACAGAAAATATATATATTCAATCCTTTATCGTGAAGTCTAAATAAATAATCTCGACAAAATAAGTTCTTTCTTACAATAACAAGGTAGCCAAGAGTGCACAAAATGAGACCTGTGCTGAAAGCAGCCACTAATAGTGAAGTGTTAAAGTAAGATTGTATATCAAAGAAAAATCTGAAACAAAAAAACAGAAATTTATTTTAGAATAAAAAATTAAGTTAATAATATGAAATATAAATTATAAAGAGTAGATCATTATAAAGAGGATGAAATGCTGAAAAATTCCCTTCCTTACAGTATGCAGGTCTGATTTTTGGTTTCAGAGATATTTTAATCCATATTTTCCATAAAACTCTTTATCATTTGGTTTTCTACACTATTTTTTTCCTTTTCGCCCCTATAATACAGCGCCGCGTTAAGGTAAAACTTTGAATAATAGCTCATTATAAAGAGGATGAAATGCTGAACCATTCCCTCGCTTACAGTGTCCAGGTCCTATTTTTGGTTTCTGAGATATTTTAATCAATATGCAAAAACACTTCAATCAGTCGACTCCAGCCGACTTTATCCGAGCGTTGCACATCCGAAATCTGACTGCTCAATCTAATTCACTATCCACAAAAAAGTACAAAAAGCACCTAAAGATGTTTTCACTTCAAACAATTTCTGGCCAAAGATAAAATGATTCTGAGACAATATTATAATAGTAGTAATAGTAGCTATTTATTAGCTAAGTAATCAGACAAAATGAAGGGTCTAATTATTAATTATTATTAATAATTAATAGTATTATTAACAGAGACTGTTAATAATTATTAACAGAGAATGGATGTCACAAAGGACCAATAGCCATGGTGATGAGTTGGAACCTCCAGATGAATCATGCCAAATTCTAGCCAATGCAGATGATAAGCTTAATACTTATAAGCTTAATACTATAGAGATATTATTGTATTTCTTTAACATATAGTAACTAAAATTTTCTAGTATTATTAAGTGTTTTGCCTTTGTATTTAAAAATCAATGTTTTTTACCAGTCCTGGTCTTGATCTTGCAGCAGTTAGGCGACCTTGGTCAACATTAATGGAGAGCGCATTCCCAACTATACAAAGAACCAGGCTTGGTCCATATTTCAAAAAAAGTCTTTTAAAATACAAAATAAAATACATTTTTTGTATTTTGTATTGTATTGGCAAATAAGTCCTTTCGGATTTTCAGGGTGAAATAAAACTCAATGTATTATATACCTAAAATTAATTTTAATCTACAATATATTGACATTATTTAAGAAGACTTTTTGTCATCTTTCCACTAACTGGACAGTAAAACACATTCTACAAGACTGCTCCATATTTGAAACTGTTAAGAAAAAAATGGAAATGATACAAAGCCTAAAAGAAAATTTATAATACAGCGAATGAGCAGTTAATGATTCTTAAAAGCGATGAAATTCTATAATAGAGTTTAATTCAAAGGTATTTCCATTGGTCCTACAGAACAGAGACAACAAAATAAATAATATCACACGTATTATCATTTAATTGTATATGATATATTATAATTTAATAATATAGTGACAAGATATTAAAGACCCTCAAGATTGGTGTTGTCCAAAATAGGTCTTGTTCTTGCAAACTGCAAGACCAAGACTAATTGGTCAAAAAAATAAAAAATATATCATGGGTGATAAATATTCAGAACGCGGTCACTATAAAGTTTTTATTAGTGCCGATGTTTCAACCTAAACATGTGGGTCATTATCAGGGCATGGTTCGAGCACTGAAGATATTCAAGTGCTAACACATTTGGTAGATAAGAGTGTTAGTTACACTTACACTTATACCCTTACCTACCAAATGTGTTAGCACTTGAATATCTTCAGTGCTCGAACCACGCCCTGATGATGATCCACATGTTTGGGTTCAAATGTCAGCACTAATAAAAAGTTTATAATGACTGCGTCCTGAATATTTATAACCCATGATATGTAGAACAGTCGACTAACTTACTTAAAAAAATATATCGTTTTTGTGAATAAAAATGAAGGCAAAATAATCAATTAAACTTGACAATTTTAGTTACTGTATGTAAAGAATTGGCACGACCAATATACTTTTGCATTTAAATCTTCCAATTTTTACTTCGGGCTTAGTTAGGTTTCCCCAATCTGAAAAAATACAGTAACATTTCTGTAGTAATAAGCTAATAGGTAACTGGAAGACTGTTGCAAGATTCTTGGGCAAGACCAAGACCAAGACATAGGTCTCTCATTTGAGCAACAATAGTCTAGATCTAGCCCCGAGTTTGGTTTAGCCTTTCTTTTATTTCACTCTTCATTTCACCCTTGCATTACCCAAAAACCTAACCTACAAAAGCAATGAGACTTATTCTAAATGCGATTATGGACAATTTGATTATCTTTAACAATAAAAACAAAGATTACTTTATCAATATTAGATGATGCTGCACACAACACTTTATTCTCGCCTTTACTTTAATTTCTGCATCCTCTCCCTTTGCCAAGCCATCGATCTCTTTAATAGCTATGACAAGAATCTTGAACTGACCAATAAGATGACCAGCCATGGTCACATAGGCTACCCAATTGGAGCAAGCACAGGTCACCATCGACTCAGCTATGAACCAAACAAATATCATCGATGGAAAGTATCTGAAAAACAGGAAATAAAAAAAGGTAAATGTTAAATACATTATGTTTAAAATAAAAAATACACTTTAAAAGCATCAAAACCATTTTCTTCATAACATTTTTCCATTGAAACTTAAAAGGATTAGAAACACTTATTATGGGATGTTGTTAATAATAACGATAGACCCGATTTTCTGGTGACCTACAAATTGGAAGAACGTGCAGCAAAAAACTCATTATGTGCAAAGACGTGTATTAAAATTCAACCTAAAAACGTACAAAATTATCTATATGGTATATTTTATAACATTAATACAACGAAAAAAACGCAGCAAATAATTTCAGAATGGTTTATAATTTTCAAACAATTATACATCTAAAGTAACATTACCTTCCTAGTGATAAAGCAAAAGAAATAAAAAGTGATTCCAATATTGGACTAAACATTTTTTTTTTAATCATTAATATGTTTAAAAAACTAGTATTGCTTCAGTAACACATTCAAAAACAAGACTATATCTTTGCTCCTAATTGTCCGATTTTTGTTTTTTATGAAATAACGTAAAATTTTAAATAACCATACAATATGAAGTGTATACTTTTTGAGTTATTCAGAATCTAATTATACCATCCCTCGTAACTTTTTTTCAAGCTCCTTTTCGTTGAAGTATGTTATTTAGCTAAATTTAAAGAGCATCGAGAATAAGATTTTAGCGAAGTTTCATTGAAATCGGTACATTCCTTTAGGCGCTACAGTCTATAGCAACTACAGTGGCTTAATAATTATTAATAATTAATAATTATTAAGCCACTGTATAGCAACGCAGGTATTTCGGTTGCCATCTTGAAAGGAAAGGGTACGCCGTAAGAGCATTTTTGGAGAAAATGCTCTTACGGCGTACGGCGGATGGCGGACAGACATAAAAATTTGTATTCGTTTTTCGAATTCTATATATCCTGAAACGTAAAACCTCAAATTTTGAGAGGGTTAAGTTTTTTAATTTTTCGCTTATTGAAAATAATAAACCAAAAATATGGATATATAATACTGAAATTGAAATTTCAAAGAATATTTAGGAAACTTATAAATAAACAATAAAAATTTAATTTTTTAATCGATGAAATATTAGTGTTGATGCTGTTACTAGATCAGGAGTCTTCAAACTCTTTATAAACTCTTGGGATTGGGGCGTTTTCAATCTAGATTTCGTTAAACTTTGCCTATTTAATTAGGTACTAAAAACTCGTAAGTACCTATTCGCTTTATACTTGGATCGTAACATAATTTGATCACAAAATAAAAAAAGTTGTCTATCTAAATCTAAACATATAGTGCCGTTTGGTCAACATAATCTCTTTATTTAATTTGGGAGTGTAGGTCATACCAATCGGCTCAATATTTAAAAAAAAAATTCTCAACTTTGTGCTCAAATTATCATACTAATCAAGCGGAAAGCAAATGAGTATTTACGAGTTTTTATTACCTAATTAAATAGATAAAGTTTGCCGATCTCCAGATTGAAAACGCCCCAATTCCGATAGTTTTCGTAAATAAAATATTTGTAGGTTACTATGAGATGAAGCTATTTATGGAGTTTTAGTCAGATGTTAATAATTTCTTAGAAAGAGTTCTGTACCACGGACTATTAGTTTACTTAGGCCTCACAACCAATGTTCATTCTGATTTTCATTTAAACAAATAGTATTCATATCCGTAGTTTATATTTTTATAAACTATTTTTTTTAAATAATCAAGTGTGACATATAAACATGTAGAGAACAACACATTTTATTGATAGAAAGAATTAGTACTCAACTGTTACGTTTGATATTTGTCAATTGTTTTCCCAGTATAATTATTATATCCGCAATATGTTTCCTTAGTTTTTGTAAGTAAATGAGTTTAAATATTTCTAACTTGGGATTATCAGGCAATATAGCTATTATTATAACTCCACTTTTATCTTGATGTCCAATGCCATAAAGGATAATGGCCAAATAAGCTTTTTTTTAATGAAACAAAATTATTTTTAGTTAAAAATTCTTTATTTATTGGTGAAATATCTGAATATTGTAACTGGAAGTAGTTGCAAAAATGTATTGATCAATTAGAAACTATTTTTATTTCAACTATTTTGTGGGGGAAAAACTAAAAAATGTCGTATTTTAGGTCCATAGAATTCAATTATCAGGTTAAGGAATTTATACCGTCTTAAGTTAAAATTAGATTGGTTCCACATGAATGCAAAATGTGACCGTTTACATCAAGGGATGAGACACCTCTGAAGGATTTTGAAAATAAAGAATTGCTTAGAAAATCCAGACAGAAGAAGGATCAGTTAAACTAAGATTTTAGATGGTTAATATAATTAAGATGTATAAGATAATATAATTAACGTGGAAGAGATGAAAATGGGCATGTAAAAATCGCTGGACTTAGCAACGAAAGAATTCATAAAAAGTTAATATGCGTTCTCTCGACTGAACAACGTCCGAAGAGTAGACATCGATGCAGCTAAGCCTTATTATTATTATTTAAGAAATTATCCGTTGTTTACGGTACATCCGAGTTTAAATTACGAACAGTTACCTATTACAAAAAAAAAAAAAATAGTTCTCAATTAGTTAGTCATTTTTTATGTCGATATCAGCATTCCAGGTCAATAGAAATAATCCTATAACGTTTTATGTCAGTCACTAGTGGATCCAGGATTTATTTTTGGGGGGGGGGAGGGGCTTCAGCTCGAATGTTGTTTTTTCCATAAAAATAACGATAATTACTTTGGAAAAAAAGAAAGAAACTAACTTCCTATATGAAATGGTGTTTAGGTGATTCCTAAAGCCCTTTTAAATGTAATTACACGAACAGTAATACTTTAAGAGATACTTTTTTAATATTGTTTTCGATAAAAAATGGTTATATTTTACCATTTGGGGGGGAGGCTTCAGCCCGAAAGACCTCCCTCCTCCCGTAGATCCGCCCGTGCCCCTGACAAAATTTTGTTGCAATGTCTACATACAGACAGACAAAATTTTTTTAAAAAGGGTGATTTGGTGTCTGCAATGTATGAAACGGAAAGACATCATAAAACGGGTTGATTCTGTTCTATGTACAGACAAAATCTTTATTTTATTTATAAAGATTTTATAGAAACAATTATTAAAAACTATCTCTTAGAGTATTATTGTTCGGGTAATTACGTTTAATAAAACTTCAAAAACCACCTAAACACTATTTCATAGAGGTAGTTAATTTCTTTCCTTTTTTATAAAAATTAATTATCTTTATACATGTGAAAAAAAAAATCTTTCGGGCTGAAGCCTCCCAAAATTAAATTCTGGATCCGTTAGTGAAAATGATCGTACGTAACAATTTTCCATGTTTTTTATATTTGTGCTGAAGGGGACATTTTGTTGTCTACTACTGCAATAAGTAGTCTGCTACTTTGAAAATATTATAGGGAAATAAATTAGAATATAGAATGTCGGGTGGAAACGGAGATAAAAACATAAACAATTTGTGTATCTGCCTTATCTTTGTTTTCGTCCAACATTATTTTCCATATCTCCATCTCTATTTTGTATATATTGGTAAATTTGCTCATTCATCTTTTTTACATTATTTTAACTTTTTATGCTCTTATACGTAGTAAGTATTTTTGATAGATTTTACAATATCTTAATTTTCTATTTGTATCTATTATTTCCTTACACGGGCGGATCTACGGGGGAGGGGAGAACTTTAGGGCTGAAGCCTCCCTCTCCCCCCCCCCAAATGGCGAAATATAACCATGTTTTATTGACAAACATATTACAAAATTATCTCTCGAAGTATTATTGTTGCGTGTAATTACATTTAAAAGGGCTTTAGGAATCACTTAAGCCACTAGCGGATCCAGGATTTAATTTTGGAGGGGGCTTTTCAGCCCGAAAGATTTTTATTTCATATACATATAACGATAATTAAATTGAAAAAAAAAATAAAGAAATTAATTACCTATATGAAATGGTGTTTAAGTGGATCTTTAAAGTCCTATTAAATATAATTACACGAACAAGAATACTTTAAGAGATAGTTTTTAATATTTTCTTCTGTAAAACATGGTTACATTTTACCATTTTGGGCCCCCCCCCCTCGTAGATCCGCCTGTGATGTCAGTCGTTGACAACTTTCAGGAATGGAGCTACTTTGAATTTCCAAACAATTTCTAGAAATACCTTACAAATAAGGAGACATCTCATGTTAATCCTAGTTAATTAACGCGGTTTAAACACAATTGGAGCAGTATGACCTAAACTTTAACCAAGATTAAGTTTAAACTAGACATCATAATCATATTATACAAAGAATGTTATCTTATACCAAGTCTGTTGGTGCAACCGTCCCTGTGTATTTTTATTGATATTTACCTCCAATAAGATGTAATCTTATATGGCAACCATATTGGGTAGGGTAGTGAATATTGTTGCATGAATAATGGGGCTTTGAAATAGGAAGATACCAAAGCCGCTACACAACTCATTGCGAACACGCTGGTCGATAATTGGATATCTCTGTTAGCTGCAGCTCTTGCCTGAAATATATAGAATAGAATATAATAGAAAATAGAACTTTATTCTGGGACTAAGTTCCCTTAGAATAACAAAGATGAATTAATACAAAATAACATACCAATCTGGCCAAAAACTAACTTATAAAAATTCTAACATAGTATACATTATTTAAAAAGTAGTATGTAACCACTAAAAAATAAACAAAAATAAATACATATATATAACGCACATATACATACATAAGCACACATACACACATATATACAAACACACACATGCATACATATATATGTACTCACATATATACATATACATATATACATGCACATACACACACACATACATACACACACATACACATACATACATATATAAATGAACATACAATCTTCTCCAAATTTACTTATTATTATCATAGAAAAAAAAAAGACAGAAAAGAAATTACATATCTATATATACATAACTGCACAATTTATAAACAATAGGCAATCTAATAGAAACATAATTTGATACAAAATGTAGTAATATTTACAGTGATTCATACAATAATAAGCAAAAACTAAGATAAAATAAAATCTCAGGAATAATTGTGATATAAAGTTAAAAAAGGAACTATATATACGTACTTACTCATGTTGGTACACAGAGAGACAAAAAGTATAAAATATAAACATGTATACATAAAAGAAAAAGCACAACCTGAGATGAAGAGAAATAAAAATAAATAGTAAAAATAATAGTAAAAAAATCATTGCTGTTTTATGATAAATTTTAAACTGTCGGCATCACCATTTACTTCTCACAAATTCAGTTCATAAAATGAAATTTATGGTTGCGAATCATCTGTTTGGGATGTGAGGAGATATTGGAAAAGGAGGTATTTGAAGGTTGACAGTGAAGAGGCATGATGGATGTTATATTTGAATATCTATCAAAATCGGCAGCAGAGTTATTTTAAAAGTATTATAAGACATTTATGCAGAATATATTCTTACATTCTGGCCTAGAATAAGTCTTGAAAGGAATCTAAAAGAATTCTATTCAATCTAAATTGAAAAAAAAAAAACGCTGAAAATTATTACACAATGGTTTATTATTTCCAAATAGTTATATATCAAATATAACACTACTTTATTCGTCGCTTAGAAGAAAATAAATACAAAGACATTACTAATTTTTAAACAAATTATTTTTATATTTTCATCATTACTATTGAAAATCAAAGTAGTATGTAAGTAGCGGTGCGCTCATCACACAACTTTCACTTACCACTCTCTTCTTAGTAGAAATGAGTATTTTTAGACAAAGGGGAAGTGCAAGTAAAAATTACAAACGCTGTATTAATTTATATTTCATTGTGGGTATTTTTATTTTTATAAGGACCGTTATATCTACAAATTTTAATATTTATATCGTAGTTATCTATACAATTAAATATTAAATAACAATAACAATAGCATCTATGAATATCGCATATGTATATTTACATAATATTGTTGAGCTTAATATAATGAGCTCATGTTACGTTTGGAAGCATATTCCTTTAATTCTTCAATAACAACTATTCTCCGTTACGATATCTTATTTATCCTATAGTTAATTATAAAATTCTTTCATATTTTATATTTAACTATCTTTTATATTATAAATTAATGTGAAATCTTCAATTTTTTAAATATATATATATATGAAGTGACTTAAGGGGAAGGTAATATTGAAGATCAGCCATTTTACCCCTGTTAGAAAACATCGATCAGAATAAAAACTAAATTTTATTTAATACTGCTTAATTTTACAATGATATGATGATATTAATCAAAATCGTTAAAGCAATTTTCGAGAAAATTTCAAAAATGTATTTAGTCCATAATATAACGTTCCACTGATAGTCAGCCGATTATGACGAAAAAGTTGCTGTAACATCCCTAGCATATAAAAACCTTGAATATACAATTTATTTTGTCTACGACTTTTCGTTTTTGAGCTAGACTGTTAACACTCACACACAGAGACCATTTTGCGGGACATGGTTATTTGGGTTCAAAGGATAACAAAACGTGTATTTCCATTGAAAACCGAGATTCGAAAATTTTCACGATCCCAATACTTTCCCTGACTATATATTTCATACATAGGTAAGTGAAAGTAAAAAAGGAAGGAATTATTTATTACTTTTGGTCTATAACTTAATAAGATTTTTCTTGAAATATATTGTTTTATTTTTGACAGGGAAGGGGATGGGTGCAATTTTCTTTAACGTTCAGTAACCGTTACTTGTAACGGTTACGACTTACTAATATCTGTTCTTCTGAAATATTTCCCTCGTAGTCGTAGACTCCGGATTTTACACTGGCTTGCATTTTTAGGAAAAGTGAACTTTTAACCAAGCAACTGCTCAACATAATTACGACTGAAGTAAACACAATTATCCAATGAAGAGCCTCAACTAACAACAACTGGCTGTCATCCTCATTTGGAAAAATTATCTGCAAAAAAAAAAAAGATATATATATATATATATATATATATATATATATATATATATATATATATATATATATATATATATATGAATAAATGAAAACGTTTTTATTAAACTTTTTATAAAATTACACAAAGTAAAAAATATATATATATACACACAACCTACAACACATAAACAATGGAAAATTCCGTCTGTCAAGGTCTGTGTTTAATTAATAATAAATATTCATCACATTTATAACTAAAATAAATCAGCAATAATATATTTACAGTATTATTATTATTATGGTTTTATACCTCCATTCTAGCAATGTTCTTTTTCACTGTCTCATCTGTTTAAATACAGTTTAAAAAAAAAAATCATTAATACATCACAAATCCAATAAATAAGAAAGTTAAATTCAACAAAAATAATAATCATAAATACAATATAACAATAAAACAAACGTTACAATAAATAAACACGATATTGTATCAATAGTTTACTATCTGACTAATTGGGATCTTTGCAATGTGGCCTGCTGTACATAATTGCTTAAGGCTTTCCAGTTAGAACCCTTTAAGAAACCACTGTACATTTCTCTCTTAACTCACTATACATGTGGCAAGTCCCCAAAAAGTGAATGATATCCTCTTTTCTTGAGAGTTACATACCGGACAGCAATCGTTGTCCCCCACCATCCATGCTTTTACGCTTAAATCGAGCAACTCTGTCCTACATCGAAAAATTGACCCTATAGTCACAATATCAAAACTATCATTAAGATAGGGTGTAACAGTGCCCACTGAACATAGTCCTGCGTAAACAGAAAAACTTGAATGAAGAAATTTTTCTAGACTATTTTGTTTTTCTTATATCAAGATTAGTTTTAAAACTATCCACGAATTCTAACCAGTTTTGGTGCCAATAAACTCTCTTAGATATCACCTCTATCGCTACGATATGTGGCAAACGAAAACTCGACATCTCCAGCACTTTCAACATTATATATATATATATATATATTTAAACTTAATTATTTAATTGAGAATAACGTCACTTAATTATTATTTAATAAACTATTGAATGTTCATTTCTTCTGTTTATTGACGTTTCGATCCCGGTATTTTTCTTTTTTTTAGTCAACCATGGGATCCTCTTCAAAGTTTTACAAAATAGAGCTTCGATCAGGCCAGGGACACACCGACAGTCTCAGCACCGTCCACTAGCACATATATTAAGCTACTGGATCGAAACGTCAATAAACAGAAGAAATGAACATTCAATAGTTTATTAAATAATAAAGTGACCTTATTCCCAATTAAATAGTTAAGTTTAAATTTAATACTCAAAGGTCGATTAAGGAAAAGTTGTAAAGATAAAGTAAAGAAGAATACTTTCAAATGAATATGTTTCAATATATATATATATATATACTTTCAAATGAATATGTTTCAGATGAGAAAATGTTCTAATAACAGGTCTTGCTTATCAGCTGATGTTGTGGTCACTATGAAATATAAGGAAAAAGATTTTGGTTTTGATTATGAAATACTTATCTCTCACCAAGTTCTGTGTTTAAAAAAATCATTGATACTATCATCAACTCTTTCGCCGATGACAGATGCTTGCTATCTATTAATAATGGCCCTTTAATTTCATCCCAAACTCTTCAATCACATATCACAAGCCTTGAAGAATGGTGTAAAAATTGGGGAATAAAAATAAATTCCAATAAATCTTATCAAATCACCTTTAGCCTCCGTCGTAAACCTATGACTTCCTGTCCTACAGTATCCTTACAACAATATTTATTCCTGTTGAGCAAATCAGCTACTTATGACTCCACTTGGATAAAGGTCTTACTTGGAATCCTCATACTAGACTGAAACGACAAGAAACTGCTCGACGTTTCCGACTGCTCCAACACTTACTAGACAAACGCTCTAAACTTTCAATTAATTACAAAAGACTCATCTACATAACTATAAGACCTATATGGACGTACGGAGTTGAGCTTTGGGACTTCACCAAACTATCGAATTCCTATCGTATTCAATCCAAAATCATTCGTAAAATCCTTAATGCCACATACTTTGTCAAAAATAAAACCATTCATAAAGACCTGTACCATATATGTACCATGTACATATGTACACATATATCGCTGATTTAGCTCGAGCCAGATATCTATCCTTTTATGATAAACCCCAGTCCCATCCGAATCCACTTATTTCTATTCTAGCCTTGCGTCTTCCTGGATTCCTGATAATCCTCCAAGGAGTCTGAAAAGGAGATGGCCTAGTGACCTTCTTACCTAGAATTACTTAGGGATTGCTAAATCTGGGTAGTATCTCTTCAAGCCTGTTAATGCTATTATTTCTAATTTTGCCATATTTATTGGTTATATTTAAATACAGTTGTAAATTTCATTAAATAAAAAAAAAATCTAGAATTTTTCTAAGGATGTTCCACTTTTAGAAATCCTTTCTTGTTTAATAAGCTTTAAATCCATATTTAAGATAAGGGTTTATTAAGAAATAAATTGAAATTCATCTCAATAATTCTATAAAATAAACATAATTCTAAAAAAATCTCAGTTTCCACTGGACTCCAATGACGGTGCCGCGGCTGACAGAGAAGCGCTGGGATCTCTTAAATTCTCGCTTTTTCCTTCACACGTGGAGGAAAGGGCTGGACTCGGAGCTCCCTTGGCTGATTGTAAATATTGTAATTAAGTATGAATGTTTTTCTTTTTTATATATTTATTTGTTTTACTTATGACTTATTTAATTTGCTACCAATTTCTGTATTTTTTTTTATTAATTTTTTTTTTTTTATTTGATTTCAAGTTACATTTCTTTGGTTTTATAGTTTTTGCCTTTGTTATATAGATATATATATTTATTTATTTTTACTTTTATTGTATTGTATATATAGTATGAATGGGCCTCACTCAGCTTTAGTACTCAGTGCCCTTAAATGTGGCAAAATGTATTATTTCTCAACAAAAAGATTTTTTTTAAAAAACATTACAAAAATAAGCCTTATTGTTATAACAAAATTGCCTCTTGTTAAATTGTAAATGTACTACCTATATAATATATTTTTATATATTAAATTACCTTTAATGTATAGTTAATAATTCCAACCGATAAGAAAAAAATCCTTAAAAATGATGAAACTGCAGACTTCCACGTTCCGTCGTACAGACCTCCTGCGATGTAAAGGAAAATAGCATTCGTCTGTAGCTTTGATGGATCTCTTTCATAATCCAAGGAAAACTGCAACAAATATGAAGAGGAACTATTTAATGTTTTATGTCACATTAATCTTTTTGTAGATGGGTAAATAGGCAAGTGATCAATTTTGTTTTATCCTTAATCCTTTTTTGAAATCTAAATGGGCATAATCGTATGTATCAACACTGTGATAGCTCAAAATCAACAAAAACTCACCAATCAAAAACCTAATTTCATTTAACGATTATTACGTAATTAAACAGAAACAGCATGGAGAGCGAGGTGTTATGTTGATTGCGTCTAGGCTTGCAACGATTTCCTGACTTGAACGACTTTTAGGTTTAATGGTTCAAACTATTTAACGAAATCCCGAAATATCATTTCTATTTATGATATCTTGAACAATGATATTGTTAATAGAGGGCGACAATAATGTTACGCCTCCCCCAACGATTTAAAGGAAAAAAATTAAGAGCTTTCGCTTGATGTTAACGAATTTGCAGGGTTGAAACTTTTTTAAAAAGTTTTATTTTAACAGTTTATGTAAATTTTTAATGAAATCACTTCCATTTTAAAAAATTTTTCCGAAAACATTTAGAAAAAAGTTTTAAAATAAAAGTTCTCAGGAACTTTTTTAATATTAAAAAAAAACTTGAAAATAGTGAAAACAACGAAAATAGAGAAAATGGGGGAAACTACGAAAATCGCGGAAACTGTGACAATAACGACCATGGACTGAAAGATATACTGTCCCAGATAGAGACCTATTTTTATTGAATTATTAACATCAGCCTGAAACTTCGTAAAACGTTTCATCTCATCGTAACCTATAACTATTTTATTTACGAAAACTCTTGTAATTGAGACGTCTTCAACCTGGAGGGGGACAAACTTTGTCTGTTTAATTAGGTAAAAACTCGTAAATACCCATTTGCTTTCTACTTGGATCGTGAGTTAATTTGATCAAAAAATCGATAAAAAAAGTTGGCCTTAAATAATATTGGTCCGTTTTTCCTATACAATCTCGTTATTTTGAAATTTCGTGGATGTAGGTTACGCCAAATTGGCTCAATATTTTTGAAGACCACCTTTTTTCCCAATTTTTTATCACATTGTCTTACGAACCAAGTAAAAAGGAAATGGGTATTTACGAGTTTTAGTATCTAATTAAATAGACAAATTTTGTCCTCCTCCTGATTGAAAACGCCCCAATTCCAGAGTTTGCGTAAATAAAATAGTTGAAGGTTGCGATGAGATTAAACTATTTACAATGTTTCAGGCGGATGTTAATAATACGATAAAAAGGGATCTGTCCTACGGACTAATATCAAAAAACATAAAAAATATGGCTTACGTGGCGCTTTTAGCCATGTTTAAGCCATCCGAAAAAAGGGTATCAAAGAAACATCTGGTTTGAGACATTCAATATAACTTAATCCAAAAATTATACGCGATACGTCAGAAAAGTATCGTTTTGATACCTAAAAAGTTTTCTGAAAGACATCATTTTGATATTGTATAACTGTGTTCATTTTCTGTTTTCTGTTTTTTTTTCATAATTTCTTTCTCGATTTTTTGATGAATGGTACATAATGAAATACTCAATTATCCTAATCGAGCAGTGATAACATATTTTGTGTTATTTCTTATAAAACTTTTTCGATCACTAATCATAGCGAATATCAATTTTATTTGCTTTCCATTCGAATGGAATATATATATATAATCTCAACTTTTATATGAAACCTAAGCTAAGATATTATAAAGGTGTATTATGACCATATGATTATTTCGAACATGCTATCAGCATGTGCGCAGGTGATGATCGGTATAAATGGTCGAACAGCAGGCAATCCTGTCTTCTTACGGTCACTTCATATATATAATTTATGAGCGTTCATATTATTATGTAAAACTGCAAACCGCTGTAAAACAGTGAAGGAATGTGGCAGAATTCATACAAAACTGCAAGTGGGCTTATTTGTTTTAATAAAGAAATTGTATATTTAATGTGGATCAGCTAATGAAGCCTTACAATGAAGCATTTATTTACAATAGGAGATCACGAGGCCATCTTCTTTTCAGACATCTCGGAAGGTTATCAGGGATAGAAGAGGAAGCAAGGTTAGAGACGAGAGGATTCGGATGATTCTGAAGTTTATTATGGAAGGACAGGTATCTGGATTGGGCCAAATCCGAACGCATAAGGAACATTAAAGTCGTTATGGATTATTTTATCGGTGACAAAGTAAGGAGCGTTAATTATTTAACGAAGGATTTTGGATGTAAGGATTGGATACGAGAGGAATTCGATAGGTTAATGGAGTCCCAAAGCTCAACTCCGTTAGTCCAAATAGGTCTTATTGTAGTCATGTATATGAGTCTTTTTTAATTAACTGGAAGCTTAGAGCGTTTGTCTAGTAAGTGCTGGAGTAAGCGGAAACGTCGAGCGGTTTCTTTCGTTTCATTCTGGTAAGAGGTTTCGAGTTAGACGTTTGTCCAAGTGGAGTCCAAGGTATCGGATTTGTTCAACAGGGATAAGTGGGGTATTTTTAAAGGATACTGTAGTGCAGGAAGTGACAGGATTATTGGTAAAGATGATTTGATGGGATTTATTGGAATCCTCCAGTTTCAACAACATTCTTCAAGGATTGTGAAGTGTGATTGAAGAGTTTGGGATTCAGTGGTTTAATCATTATTAACGGATAGGACAAATGTATCATCGGCATACGTGGTAATAACAGTTTTAGGATGGGTTGGGATGTCAGCTGTATAAACTGTGTAAACGATAGGACCTAGAATTTTAAAAATTGCGTCTTCTAATAATTCTCTAGATACAAAATCTTTTTGTCTCATTTCATTTACAATAAAATTTCGACACTTTTTAATAGTAAATATCCTGATGTAAGTATAAAATAAATGGAGTTAGGCCACTTTCTAACTACACGGTTCAGTTATTGAACTAATTCTGAAAACTTATGTGTCAAAAATTTATGGTATTTGCTCGGAATATAAGCAATACGAATATGAGGAACATTTGAGGAACACCAGCGGACTGGGAAAAGAGGGATGAATAAGAATTATTGTGATTCACTTTAAAGTATCTATCAGTTAGGTAGGAACGGATACTAAGGAAGTATGTATGATGTAGGAATATATGGAGTTTGTAAAGCAGTTCTGTGTGCCAAACTCGAGCAAAAGCCTTCCGATAAATTAAATCATAAGACACAAAAGGCTGGTCTTGTAATAAGTTAAATCTTTTTTAAAATAAAGAATATAGAATGTTAACACTTTATTTCGCATAATTATATCCCTGTTTTCAGCTATTTCAACTTTAGAAAAACATTCTAGATCAAATAGTATCAGCTACTGGTTCAACAGAAATATTTTCGAAATATACAATTTAATTAAAATTTAGAGGAATGTTTCATCGATTTTTAAATGTCTCTTGGTAAGGCGAGAAGTAGTTCTACAAGAAAAATATAATAACACCAAAATTAAAGTTTTTGCACGAAAGAGTTAAAAAAATGTCCACAAGCTTCTTGTGCATTCACCCTACCATAGAGTGCTTACCATGCTGCTATCGATGTCTTGAAACTGAGAAGGTTAAAGTCTTTCGTGATCTTAACTTGCTTTCCAAGCCCTGACGATTGGTTTTAAAGTTAATTCTACCAGCTTATGTCAACAAGTTTCGGTAAAACGTGTAATAACCTTTTGATTTCATAGCGAATTCGCATAAAATATTGATCCTGCTCGGCGTAATTGATAGGTTTGCTATAGTTGGGCCATGATCGGACATTGTCAACAGTAGTTACTTCGGCTACTTAATAATTTATTCAGCTCTAGATGATCGATCGTTTCAATTTTTTTTAATAATTAAAAAAGTTATAATAATTTATTTTTTCTGTTGGTATTTCAAAACTTGTACAACTTCTTCCGCCTTAACCAGCTCTCTCCGTCTATGAATATTAAAACTATATTATTTCTTTCCGGTTATCTGTATGCGAATCTACAGTATCTTTTGGTTTAATATTTTCTATAATGAACCATTGTGATCGAACAAAAAAATTCAAAAACTTATCCCCCTCTCAAAATTTGAGGTTTTACATTTCAGGATACGTAGAATTCGAAAAACGAATAAAATCTTTTCCGTCCGCGCATTTTCTCCGAAACTAATGGACCGATTTTTTTTTCAAATTTAGCTTTAAAATTAGAGGTCACCCGAGGATGATCCTCCTTCATCGAAATTTCTATCCGCCCTTTTTAATTCGTTCTAAACGTCCGGTTTAAACAAGAATCTGGTGCGCGCATCGCACAACTTACACTTACCACCCTCTTTTTAGAAGAAATAGGTATTTTCGCTATGAACCCCCCTTCTGGGCACCCATGTATACCTAGTCTTCTCATAAATATTGATACAAGGAAGTAAATACACATTTCAACAGAAAAATTAATGTTTTCAATAACTTTATTAGAAAATAAAATGTGTATATATATATATATATATATATATATATATATATATATATATATTTAAACAAAAAATAAATTATTCAAAATGCCTTGACATAGGCATTTAATCCCCATGGCTAATCATCAATAGCAGCACGCAGAACTTCCGGAGGAAAACGCTCTACTGCTCCGACCAGAGATTGTTTGAGGCTTTCCAAAGTTAGGGTGTGCTCTGTGGCATGCCATCCTGTGTAGTTCGGACCAAAGCTGATAATCTAGTGGGTTGAAATCAGAGCTTCCTGAGGGCCAATCCGAGGTAGAGATGAACTCTGGCATGTTCTTTTGCAGCCAATGCTGAGTTGACCTGGCCTTGTTAGCTGGAACGGAATCCTACTGGAAAACCCAATGACTTCCAATAAGTTCACAGTGCGAGGACGGCTCGGTCGAGGTCTGTCACATACAGATAGGGTCTCATTATATCTATTTATAGTGCGGTACACAAACAGAAGGCTGATACCCAAAGGTTTCAAAGTGTTGAAAATCTCTGACATTTTCCAACTTTGTGTAAGGCGATCACAGCTATTTGGAGTTCTTTATCATCCCACTCCATGTTAACTGAGCGAAAGAAAAATACATACTAATTGGGATTATTATCCTGACAGAGGTAAGGATTATCTAAATAATACCCAAGGATGTAAACGAAGTTCTACTTTTGTAACAGTATTTATGTCACATAGGTAGGTAAATGAAAGTAAAATAAATAAATAAATATAGCCGCTTTATTGCAACAAGTCATTAAGTTACATTTTATAACCTCAAATGACTAAGAATTTTCTCCTTAGATCAGAAAAATTTTTGTTGTAACTATGTTTGATATATGAAAGGCTTTGTGTCATTTTTAGTTCACTTTCTGTGTTTTTTATCTATAAATAAATACAAAATTGACAAAAACTTTTTTAAAAGTTTAGCTTCATTAAAAATTGTACTACAAGCGGAGGCTACATCGAAAAATATTAGACACAAAAAATCCCATAAATATATTTTTAGGGAAAAAAAACCTTGATATTCATTCTTCGCACCTCAAAAAAAACCTTAAATAAGAATATTGACTGAAATCGTAAAATTAAAATTTTTTACATGAAATTGTTGACTAGGATGAGCCCTAAGAAATTTTGTCAACAACCACAATAATTTTGATAACTTTAGTTCTAAAGTTATCAGCTGTTAGGCTCTACTGATCCACACAAAATTATATAGGATAGAATGATATGGTTCATGAAATGGTACAGAATTATATTTGTATTTTTAAGTACAATATTTGAGGATTATCAGGAAACGATTGGAAAACAGTTCAGAAATCAGTGAGTTTTCAGAGATAATGAAAGAATTTTAAAGGTAAATAATAGGAAAATAAAATATTTATATTTTTTTTTATTTAAAATTGTTTGCTATGTACAAAGTCTTAGAGATAAAGATGATTTCAGTCAGAATCATAATCAAAACATATTATCAAGCAATATATTTACAGATAAATAAGTTTGCAGAATTTATATTCACTTCTGAGAAATAATGACCTTGTCGCTTGATATACTATATTCAAAATAAAATATTTTATTTGGCTTAATTTTTTAATACTTTGTTGTAAAAAAAATATATAAAATTTCTCAATAGTCAGATAACATTTAGGCGAAGTCTAGCACAAGTTTATGGAAATAAATTGCGAACTGGCTAATAAAAAATATATATAAACATCTTGCTAAAAGTAATCTCACCGTGACATATAAATATATTATTGTTGAACCTCTACTTTCCATGTTCAAAAGTAATCCCTGTATAATGAAGAAAGATTATTTTGATATCAAAGTTTTAATTTAGGTATAAAAATTATATTTTTCCAAGAGATAACAAACTCCTTTTAGCAAGAATATATATATTTTTTTAAACAGAATCAAATCGTTTGAACTTCATTCTGCAATGATAATTGACTGATGATGATAAACCAATCATAATACCTATAGCAGTTTCCATAGGAAACTTAATAGCTAATTACATATGCACTGAAATAACCACGAACTTGTTTAGTTCTTATAGTTTTTACAGTACCATTTTTACCACCATTTTTCTTTGGTTTTTCCCTTCATTCGGTTATTTTCGAATCGTCATGGGGTGTAAATGATAGGAGAAGTGAGAATATTACAATGCCTGAAAAAAAACATGTAAAAATTAAATTAATTAATTATAAAATTAAATAAGTTATAAAATTATATTGCGAACTTTATCTTCCATTTATTTTTATTACTTTTTATATGATCAATGTTTCGTTTTTTTTTTCATCTCAACTCGAGATCATCAAATAACACTTATTGTACAGTAAGTAAAATTTTATAATTCAAAAATCCAGAATTAAGATAACATACCAACTTAATTTAATATACAACGTTAACAAGTACATTTTTTTTTCTTGTTTGCTTAACATACTTTGCAGATCTTATGCCGCCTCAACCAATCTCCTCCACCTTTGCTTATCTTGAGCTATTACGTTCTAATTATTTGCATGCAGTTTTGCAGCTTCTTTGTTGATTCTATATGTCCAGGTGGTTTTTGAAGTTCGTAATTCTTGCTAGCAATTATAGCTTCCATTGTGTATTGGCACACTGATGTATTCTCAAAACTACATATCTCACCTATCTTAACCTACTTGCCTTCATATCATACTCCCAATATTGTTAGCAATTCTTTATTAGTTCTTCTCCACAATTCGTAAATCATATCACATATCGCTTCGGCTATCGTGCGGAGGATTTCCTTCTCAAATCTTACAATATTTGTTTTTTAAATGCTGATTAATGTCCAGCCTTAAATCAGAACTGGCTTTATCTTAATAATTGTAAACCTCTAATTTTAGATTTATGCAGTTTTTTTTTTTTTTGGGGATTGCAGTGAAAGAGAGAAGAAAGCTCTTATATACGATGGTCTATTACTGATGGTTGGTCATACATCGCGTTTATTGTGGAGCCGAGGTAATTGAATTTGTTTATCCTCTGAATATATTTTTAAAATTATTAAATTGTTTTTCCACCTTAAGGCATTAAAATTCGACATAATTATAATCAATGGAAGATAAGGATCACCATATCATTAATTTTATATATATATATATATATATATATATATATATATATATATATATATATATATATATATATATAATATTAACCTACTTAAAAATTGATTAATTAAAGATAAACATAAAAAGACAAAATTTATCTCTAAGATTTATTTTTAATATTGGAGAGATCCAAAAAATAGTCATAAGTTTAAAAAATGCTTAAAGTTTAAAAAATAATTAATCTGTAAAAAATGTCACAAATAATAAAAAAAATTAACATTGAACTAATTTAAAGACACAGACTCTTATTAATGTTTAAGATTTATTTATAATGTAACAATTTTTTGTAAAAAAAAAATAAAAGACACCCAAATCCGCGAAATGCGGCCATTTTCAGTCATTTAATTACAGAAAATATAATGGTCATAGAAACGCGTTACGGGATTTAAATTGTGGCTTGTAATGATGCTGATCTAGGACAGTTGCTCAGTGGGCTGTCCGAGATAATATGGTGAGCCAGAAGTCATAATATCAATTTGGAACATTTTTGAGATAAATTACATTGAAACATCTTTATAATTTTTTTATAATAGTGAAAAGAAGAATTAATCTAGTTAACATAGTGATAAACTGAAAGTCAGCAGCCAAATAATCTGTCATAAGGATTATGGTGCACCAGACGAAGATACAGGATAGCACAATCTTCAGGTCTACATTGTTTGTTGATAACATGGGACACTTATACCGAGAAATCCAAAAAAAAATGTATACAGGATTGCGTGATGTAAAAATCGATATTATTTTAAACCATTTCACCTTTAATGATAATGGGGCCTTATATTGCACAAATCCGAAAACTTAATAAGAGGTATGTCTCCTTCTATTTTCGCTATGACATAGTTAAATTATTTAGGAAGTTAAAAATTTAAGAAATGCTGATTAATGTGGACATAGTGTATTGTGTGTACCACAGGAGCTGTTATATTTATGCAGGATGTTTCAGGGATAAGTGGCTAAACTGTAAAAATGTACTAAGGACCTCAAAACAAGAAAAAAAAATTCCTCTGAAGGTATGTTCGCAAACGCTTTGATTAGGAGATATTCATACCTAAAGATTTCCATTGTTATGAATTATTTATGTTATATGAAATAAATAAAACATATTTATTTGTTCTAACTACTTTATTAATTAAATGTAAACATTAACATTCAAATTGAATGTTCTTTAAAGTGAAGGTATGTCTGCAAACGCTTTGTTTAGGAGATGGATTAGATAGAATACTAATATGGCCGTTTATTTCTAACTGTATAAAAACTGTTGGCAACTTGTGGATTAATTTGGAATTAGCATTGGAAACTCTCAATAACATTTATCAGTTTGTAAGAGGTTTTAAAAGAGTACTCATCATCACGCCTTCCATTTATTCTAATGTTGAATATGCCGATATGGTGTATGTATACGGTTTTTTCAATGCTAATGCTGCCCGTCGTGAATATGCCAGGCGATTTCCGAAAAGAAGATTACCAAACAAGTCTATCTTTAGCTCCACGTTTCAACATCTTAGAAAAACTAGTACATTTGCTATAATACCACGTACTAATGGTATTTTTGTCCCTTTATGAAATGAAGAAAGGAGTACGACCATATTACAATATTTTGATGATAATCCATCTGGCAGTGTATGAAGAGCAGAATTAAATATTCGCCAACTACAGTATGGAGAACTCTCATTGCAGATGGACTTCACCCATATCATTATCAACGGGTACAAAATTTATTACCGCAAGGTTTTTGGCAAAGAAGATATTTTTCAGATTGGTAATTATATCAAGTTGAGTATGATCCACAATTTTAAGGAAAAATTCTCTGGAAAGATTATCTTCAATCAGAAAAATAATCATCTCTGGTCGCAGGAAAATCTCCATGTATTTTGTGAGCATCATTTTCAGAACCAGTGCAATGCATGGTTGGGAATAATAGACAATATTTTAATAGATCCACATTTCTATGAGAAAGCCTCGACTCAATACGGGCACATTTCTGGAATTTCTTAATAATGATTACTATGATTTAGTTTAACATATTCCACTACAACTTGAAAGGGTCATGAGGCTTCAATTAGATAATTGTCTTGCACATTATGGAAGAGGTCCCAATTAATTATCCCAATCAATGGATTGGCCGCGCAGGACCAGTGGCTGGTCTACACGCTCTCCAGACCTGACACCACTGCATTTTATTTTTTGGGGTGACATTAAACAAAAAGTCTATGCAACTGACATTAATTCCTTATGAAGAAGGATAATTGAATCTTTTGAAACAATAACACATATTCAGTGCTGTTCTGCCACTGCTGCTGTTGAAGAAAGATGCCGAGCCTGTCTTAATGGTCAAGGAACATCACTTTGAACAACATTTAATATTAATTTAATGTTTATGCTTAATTAATAAAGTAGTTGGAACAAATAAATAAGTTTTATTTACTAGATAATTTAATTTATTTACTAGAAAATCTTTAGGTTTGAATATTTCCTAAACAAAGCGTTTGTGGACATACCTTCAAAATTTTTTTCTTGTTTTAAGGTTTTTAATTTATATTTTCATTTTGGCCACTTAACTGAAACACTCTGTATATTAAAGGTGCATTAGTTATATTAAATACAACTTGTTTGTCTTGGAAAGATTTGATGTTTTTCTGTCTTGATTATTCTTGAATTAGTCAAATTTTGTTGAGTTTTTTACTGATTACTGTTTAAGAGACTGAAAGCTTATTAGAAACCTTGATATTTTTCAATACATAGTTATAATATTATTTTAAATAACACTTACATAATGCTCCAGCAGCCAGAGACCAGAACATTTCATTACAATTCGTAAACATGACATTGGAAAGTAAAAAGTTACCCAGGAAAATCGCTATTCTGCCTAAAACCATGGCCAGGCTCACACTTTTAGCTCTGTAATAATTTTAGGTAAATTAATAATATGATTTTTTTTTCTCACATGCTTTATATTCTTAACATAATAGTAAAATACCTCAGATGTGTAGGAAAGATCTGTACGATTGCTCCAAAAAATGCATAAATACTAGCTTCGAACAGGGCAAGGAATATTGAAATTGGCAGTAATGACATATTAGCACTGATCCAAGGAATGGAGAAAATGCAGAAACCAGCGGCAGAAATGGAGATAACTGAAATAAATAAACAATTTTAAAATCTATTTGTAACATCTATGAATTATTTTTTTAAAAAATATTTATTTATTGAGTAAAAATATATTTTGCCCCAAATAAGGGCATTAGTATTTGAGATGTAAGAGACTCATTCGTAACATATATATAATAAAAAAAGATATATATATATAGAAAAATTATAACAAAAGAAAAGAAAAATTAGTAACAGAAGAAATAAAACATGAGTCAACTAATATAATAAAAATATAAAAACACATTCATACTTAATTACAATACTTACAGTCAACCTAGGGAGCTCCAAGTCAGGCCCTTTCTCCCATATGTGGAGGATAAGGCAAGACTCTAAGAGATCCCAGCGCTTCTCTCTCATCCACATCACTGTGATAGGCATCCAGTGGAGACTGAGAGAGGGCACTAAAGCCAAATACGCTCATGACTTGAGTCGAGAAGCTGGCCATTGCCAGTACTCCAATGACGTGTTTACAAAAGATCTCAGAGGCCACTTCCGTTTCAACCTTCGAGGAGGATTGTAGGGATGACTGGAACTGGAGGAGGATTGTGCTAAGGGATTAGGTTCTGATGAAAAATTGAGAATCGAGATAGAAAAACGTCAACGGAATAGGTGATGTTAAGGTCATGATGTAGAGTTTTGTTTGTAACATAATAAGGAGCATTGACTATGGAAGGATTGGATGGATTTGATGTTCGAAAGTTTAGCGGTTAACCATAGTTCGAGACCATAAGTCCAGATGGGTTTTAGTATAGTCTTGTAAATTAATAACTTGTTTTCAATGATACAAGTAAAAGGTTTGGGGTAAATCAATCAAAACTTACTAAATCCTGAAAAATATCGTTTTAAATTCTGGCTGTTGGTGTCTTAATTTAAAATGTTTTCTCATAAAAAATGGATTATAATGAAAATATTTTTTTTTAATGATATGAATATAGCGTATATAGATATTTCTGCATTATTTTACTTTACTTATAAATATAGTAAATACAAATAAATGCAGTTTCTGGAACCTCCTACTCGTTTTGTAAAAGAGAGTGGTAAGAAATGTAGCAATATCTAGATTATATATTCATAATATAAAATAATCTCACCCAATATGACCTTCCTCTTTAAGCATCTGACGGTTACTGCAAAAAGTAGATGACAAGCGAGGCAACAGCCATGGATAGCTATCATGCTTAAATAGACTGATTCCTTTGGTGCCATCTACAAAATAAAATATTGGTCAAAGCTCATTCTAACTTATTACTACTTAATTATAAACTAATTAGACTTTAGTTATTATTATCTAATTATGGTCAGTAAATATCATCTTACAACTTTAGTGCTGTTCCTGTCTTCAGCGATTAGTGGGCAAAGACCTTCGATATCAGTGACTGAAGAATTCTGCAAGAGTGTAAAGATTTCTGGCATCCAGAGCCGTAGAGTATTTTGACTGTAGGAAAACATAATGTAATTAGCTTTTGAATTATTTAACTGTACAAATTAGATTAATTTTAAAAAATATCAATTTAAACAAAAATGATCTATTATTCGAGTATGTGGTAGAGATTATTAAATTCTTAATATCCTTCAGTACTCCTTAATTAACGAATCGGGTATGACTGAGTCGGATTACCCAAACATTACAATACATATATATATATAAATAAATGAAATAATAAAAATAGGTAAAAAAATAAATTAAAATAATAAAAAACCACATAAACAACATATGTAAAAAGAAAAATAATAATAATAAATAATAAATAATAAAAGAAACACTATGAAGACTATAAAGAACATATGGGATATAAAGAATATAAAAAACATTTATGGGACCACACATAAATGAGTTTTAAAGCTGTTAAAAGAGAAATCCTCCACCTCTCTAACCACGTTCCTTTCCTTCACTAGCGGATCCAGGATTTAATTTTGGGGGGGGCTTCAGCCCGAAACCTTTTTTTTTTCATAAAAATAACGATAATTACTTTGGAAAAACAGACAGAAACTAACTATCTATATGAAATGGTGTTTAAGTTATTCCTTAAGTGCTTTTAAATGTAATTACACGAAAAATAATACTTCAAGAGGTATTTTTTAAATTTTTTTTCCCATAAAACATGGTTATATTTTTCCATTTTGGGGGGAGCTTCAGCCCGAAAGCCCCTCCCCCCCTCCCCCCCCCCCGTAGATCCGCCTGTGCTTTCCTTATAGAAACGTTTTTGTTACAAGTACAAAAGCATCTCCATTTAATCTTCCAGTCTTCATTTCATGACCTTCATCACAATATTTCAACTTTGCAATTATGCCGGCTTCTTGAAAATATTTTATAGTCTCTTCTTCTGAAGACGGCCATCCGAATGTAACAACATCCACAATTTTACGAAAATAGCACTAATGGAATAAAAATAAATGATGGAATAACTTAGGTTAGAGGAGATAAGAAGAGAGGTGGTGTGATATAAGATAAGATAACAAGGAAGGTTTCGACCCGACCGGCTATTTAAGGAGTACCCATCCTTTTTAAATAGTCCGTGGTAGAGGTCCCTCTCTATGAGATTATTAACATAAAGCTTCGTAAATAGCTTCATCTCATCTTAACTTCAGAAATATTGATTCTTTTGGCGTCACCTACATCCTCAAAATGTCAAAATAACGAGGTCATGTGGGCCAAACGGCCCTATATTTTTGTAGATCGCCTTTTTCTATTCGATTTTGTGATGATATTATCAAACGATTCAAGTGGAAAGTAAATGGGTATTCATGAGTTTTTAGTACCTAATTAAATAAACAAAGCTTGCCGATCTCTAGATCGAAAACGTTCCAATTCCCAGAGTTTTCGTAAATACAATATTTGAAGGTTAGGATAAGATGAAGCTATTAACGAAATTTTAGGCGGATGTTATTAATCTGATGAAAAGGGATCTCTACCACGGGAAAAAAAAAATAATAATTATTGATTTCTAATCCTGGTTTTGGAGGTTATTGACACGAAGAAGTGGAGGGCTGAGGTTTAGGGTGGAGTTCAGCTGTCTGTATATATCCCTACTGTCAGTGCAAAATTTCTTATTTAAGAATTGAATTTTTCGACAAAAGAGTCATAAAAACTGATTGTTTATGATTTATTAGTATAATTTTATTTTTATTTCATATTTTATTTCCCTATAATATTTTTCATAGTAGTAGCCTATTGCAGTTTCAGAAGTCAAAAAGTCATCTTTAACACAAATAGAATTAACATAGATAATTGTTACATACGACCTTCTGCACTTAAAGTAGTAATATATTTCATAATTTATAAACATTTTTTTGTGGGTGGAATTATAAATAGCAAAAGAAGCTGTAAATTCGTCGGTATTGGACCCATCAGTAAAGATCAAAAAAAGGCTTCTGTATTTTTTGAAAGAGATATGGGAATTCGGTTTTGTACTCAGTAGGTGAAGTTTTGTTTTTACGTAATTGGGTGAGGTATACATTGAATATTATTTGCAATTTTCATAAAATCAATTTGTGTTAAATCTTATTAAATATAAATAACCCAATTATTAACTAAGAGTTTAATTTTATAAAACTAAAATAAAATTAAGTATGGATTGATACTTACGAAGCAAACATCAAAACGAAAATTATAAATACTGTCAATGCCTTGAGTAAATACGGTGGTCTGAACATGTCCATGATTTCATTCCAGACTCGAGAGCAGATCGATTTATTCGTCGCAGAGTCGCTGTTTTTAGCATGAATTTTATTAACCTGAAAAGAATTATATGACTGAGAAGAGAAAAATTATTCATAATGCTTATCTGTAGCATGATTGATAAAAGACCAATGATTGTTTCAAAATTCCAATAGCGGTTAGTCGCCAGATCATGACGGAACAAGATGATTTTAAATATTTTATTAGACGTTAAGAACAGATTCGAGATTAGGTGTGGCCTTTTTGTAGCAAAACGCTTTTGCGCAATATTTATTATTCTAGCGCTAGAATTAAATAATATTTAATTAATTTTGATTATGAAGATTTGAGAACCAATAGAATTAAGTTTGATATATGTACATGGCGTGAGATTTTTAATTGAGCACATTTTTTCTGAGCAGTGGATTTTGGAGGGGTCACTTTTTGCAGAGTTGTAAGTTATGTTAGGTTTCAATTGAAAAGAATTTTCACACCAGGAAAAAAAATTAACGTGTGTGCTTTAAACCACGTAATAAGTAGGAGTGAAAGCATCTACAAGGCGAGATTAATAATATGAAATGTAAATTATAAATAATAACTCATTATAAAGAGGTTGAAATGCTGAACATTTTCCTCGTTTACAGTATGCTGGTCCGATAATTAGTTTTTGAGATATTTTAATCCATATCTTCAATAAAACTCGTTATCATTTGGTTTTGGACACTATTTTTTCCTTTTCGCCTCTCTAACAATGTGCGCGTTAAGATACAATTTTGAATAATAGCTCATTACAGAGAGGATGAAATGCTGAACATTTTCCTCGTTTACAGTATGCAGATTCGATTTTTAGTTTTTGATATATTTTAATCTATATGCAAAAACACTTCAACTAGTCGACTCCAGCCGATTTTGCCCGAGCGTTACACATCAGAGATCTGACGGCTCAATTTAATTAACTCTTCACAAAAAAAGTGCATAACCCGCCTAAAGAAGTTTTCACATAAAAAAACAGATCTATTTTTATTTTCATTTGCACCGCTTTAAAGAAGAGGGAAGTATTAAATTTTCTTGGGATATGATATGAAATATAAATTATAAATAACAGCTCATTATAAAGAGAATAAAATTCTGACAAATTCTCTCGCTTATAGTATGCAGGACCGATTTTTAGTTTTGAATAATTGAGCTCATAAAAAGAGGATGAAATAATGAACATTTCCCTTACTAATAGGGTTGCCCAATTGAGTGACCGAAACGAGTCTTGGTCTTGCAAACTCAGTCTTGGTCTTACGCAAGAGTCTCGCAGTTACCTATTAATTTATTAATATATACTTTTTTATATAGGAGAAACCTAACTAAGCCGGAATGAAATATTAGAACAGTTAAATGCAAAAGTATATTGTTGATACCAAGTCTTTACATATAATAAATAAATTGTCAAGTATTAGTAACTATTTTGCCTCAATTTTTATATTAAAAAATCGATTTATTTTTACCGGTCTTGGTCTTGCAACAGTTATGTAGTCTTGGTCTTGCAAAGTACAGGACCAAGATCGATTTTGGGCAACACTACTTACTAACAATGTGCAGGTGTGATTTTTAGTTTTTGAGATATTTTATTTTATATGCAAAAAACACTTCAATTAGTCAACTTTACCCGAGTGTTACACATCGGAGATCTGAAGGCTCAATCTAATTAACTCTTTACAAAAAAAGTGTAAAACGCGACTAAAGAAGTTTTCACATTTAAAAAAATAATAACAGATCTATAATTCTTATATTTTTATTTTCATTTGCACCACTTTAAAGAAGAGAGAAATATTAAATTTTCTTGGGAGAATCTTGTAAACAGATGTTCTTAATATTAATGTTCTTTTTATAAAAATATGAAAACATGGATACTTACCGGAAAAGACAGAGGAGGCAAGCCTGTATTGATTGTGAAGATATTTCTACAGACATTGAGGGCCTTTTCACTCCTTCCTTTGTCCACCAAGAACTTGGGAGATTCGTAGAAGAAGAGACAGCTCAGGCCAATGAGAAGAGAGGGTATGCCTCCGCACATCGTGAACAGCTGCCAGGCCTTGAAGGGCATCCAATCAGGAAGCGCCAGGGGAATCAACCACATCGCGAGTACTGCTCAAAAAATAATCAGCTGATAGATTAATTAAGGTATTTTTTTTTCCTAAGCCTGAGGAAGACGGGTTGGATTCCCACCTGAGTTAGTTAATTTTCATTTCTCGACAGCCTTGGTAAATGAATCTTGACATTCCCACTCTTCCCCCCCCTCCCCACCCTTCCTCGGATTTTAGGCTATACGGAGATTTTTCCAGGTCGTTCAAAATAGCGGGAGAATTATACCGCTTTAAAAGTTACACCGGCACTGGGGTTTTAACTTTTTACTTGAAATCAGTTTCGGTGAGACTGGAATCTTTATTTTCAATTTTATTTGTTTTATTTCGGAACTAGATTTCTTTTCTTCGAAAATTTTACAGGACTTTTATTTTACAATTTAATTGATTTCACAAACAATTTCCTCTAAAAAATTACATTTATTTACCATTTTATTACCATAAAAATCAGGAAATTGATTAATTTAAGATCAATTGTAACTCTAATATGAACCCAATTTATATTTATTTCTCGTTTAACATAACTTTTTTTTTATGACTTAAGTAAATAAAAGTTAAACTTTTACTAAGAACTTTATTGCAAAAACGTTCCTTAGGCATCTTACTTTAAAAACTTGTTTTCCTAAAACGTTTCACTGAAATATGAAAATAGAATTTTTTTTATTTTTAAGATGTCTTTTTCGGATCATTTAACACATCAATTGTTTTTTAATGTTGATGACAATATAACGTATATTTATATATTTACACTTATACCAATTTCGCTTCATTATTAGGGTGATTCTCATTTTAGGGACAAGTTTTAGTCCATTATAACTTTTAGGTAATAAGTTAAGTCAAACTTTTTTTTTTTTCCTTACTGCTATATGGCGAAGTAGTATTTTTTCATAATGAAATATTAAAAATTAAAGGAAGGAGATGGTCCGGCGTGGCGGTCATAAATAGGCTAAATAGTGGTAAAACTATTTTTATTAAAAGCCGACGTTTCGATCCGACTTTGCAGGTCTTCTTCAGGGAGGTGTGTTCAGATGGGAGTTTCACTTAGAACTGGGTTCCAGTTCCAAGAGACCAGTTCTAGATGAAACTCCCAGCTGAACACACCTCTCTGAAGAAGACATGCTAAGTCGGGTCGAAACGTCGACTTTTAATAAAAATAGTTTTACCACTATTTAGCCTATTTATGACCACTACCCCGGACCATCTCCTTCCTTTACAATGCAACGGTTAACTATTAAATATTCAGTATTAAAAATTAAAATATTAAATAATAGTGTGATTTTATAATTAGTTAAGCAACTAAAATATGTCATTACCACATTGTCCCACTCTCAATTTTCTGGTAAACATTTTTTTTTTTTCTTTCGAAACCTATGTAAAATGACATTGAAATGTATTTATACTCCTAAAGAATAATTAAGAGATTTTGAATTATATATATATTTTTTTTAACTTTTGTTAACAGTGAAGTATTTTTATGTATTTTCAAACATTGCCCCATCATTTTTAATGTCATAACCAAACAAAAAACATACCACCATATATTTAAGGGTTGAAAAGAGAGAACAGTGGAAAAATTTCTTTAGAGTTTAGTAGTAGCCATGGAGTTAAAGGACAGCCACCAGCGGATAGACCGACCAGTTTCTTATACGATGAGCACGTACCTTTATTGTTGTCATTACCACCGCGTATATTATCTAGCTACCTGTTCAAATTATTTCATTTATTATAATTCACGTTTTACTACGGTTTGTAGCAAGTTAGTTGAAAAAAAAAAAAAAAAAATTATAATACTAGTTACACGGTCGAATAAAATACGTGAAAATACCATTACCAAGTTGAAAGTTCATTCCCATAACCAAATTATTAGTTGTACTTACATTAATTACTGAGAAAAAAGTATTTCCGATCTTTTCCATTTGCTCAGATAAAGCTGAGCGGCAATAAAAGGTGTAGGTATTTAGAAAATTGTATTTAAATGCAGTAAATATTATGAAATTTGCCCACAATCTGAGAATCATCCATTATGGATAAAGTTTTACTAATCTTACAGAAGAAAAATATCAGTGAACTTACCACTCTGTATGATACTTCCGACTGAAGTAAATACTCCTAAAAATTGTGCTATCATGTCTCTGTGCCTCTGAGAGAACACTTCGGACATATATACCATGAAGATGGAGTATGGACCAGAAACCCTGTAATAAGAATTCTCTAATAACAATATGAAGATCTTAAAGAACTATAGAGAAACATTTCTTTTGTATATTATGTTCTTAAAATTAATTAAAAAACTTTTTAAAAAGTTTAGCTTACATGAATCCTGATAGAAACTTGAAGAACAGTATGACTGGGAGGGACTTGATAAGCCCAGCTGCAATATTCAAAAAGAAATCTGACAAGAATCCTATCACCATCAAATTCTTTCTTCCGAAGGCATCGGATAAAGAGCCCCAAATATAGCCAGACACAATCATACCTGAAGAAAAAATATGATTAATATTACAATTTATTTAGTTTCAATTTCATAGACTATCCTAGTTAGGTAAAAAGTTTTATTTATACTTGAGTGGAAAATTTGGTATAAACAGAGAAGGTTTCTATAGTAACAAGTGATCTGAAAGATAAGTTTGGATCCCGAAGATTAAAGCTACAAAGCAATTTATCAACTGTTTTAGTTTTCCCTAGAGATCTCCAGAGACAGCACCATATACCGCACAACAGTAGTCAAAATCGGGGAATATAAATAGAAAATAAACTTTATTCTGGGACGATGTCCCCTTACAATAACAATAATAAACAGTTAAAAACGAAAAAATACATATCTAGCCAAAAACTAATCCTCTATGCCCAAGTTGTGGGGTACCGGAGACCGCTGAACATGTTGTACTTACCTGTACGGTATATGAGTCACTGAGGGTGAAACTGTTGAAAGAAACAGGTCTCTTTGCCCTAACAGAGAGAGATCTTCCTCAACTTATGGCCAAAGACAAATACGTGCATTTCAAACGTTTTATATACGGAAAGAAGTTGTTCTACCAACCCACTTCTCTTTGGGAAGAAGAAGAGAAGCTGCACCGGGGAGGCCACCGGAATAAGAAGAAAAGTAAACCAGATGCAAGTGAAGAGAAGAGCAAGCTGTGTGCACAGCTCAGAAAAATAATGTAATAGTCAAAAATGCAGCAGTGGGTTGTTATGTAACAGTAACATCCCGCTGCTGCAAATACCCGTATTGCTTTCAGGCAGAGGAGGGTTGAAATTAAAATAAAATAAACAAATAATCTAGCCAAAAACTAACTTAATAAAAATTCAAACATTATATACAACAACTTAAATAATAGTATGTAAACAACTAAAAAATAAAATAAAATCTTCTCAACTATACTTAAACTAGTACTGAAAAAAAAAAATTATTATATATATATATATATATAATTCAAACTTCACTATTTTATTGGGAATAAGGTCACTTAATTATTATTTAATAAACTAATTAATGTTCATTTCTTCTGTTTATTGACGTTTCGATCCCGGTATTTTCTTTTTATTAGTCAACCATGGGATCCTCTTCAAAGCTAGAATTTAAAAAAAAAAAAAAAAAAAAAATAGAGCTTCGATCAGGCCAGGGACACACCGACAGTCTCAGCACCGTCCACTAGCACATATATTAAGCTACTCTTAATTAATTAGCAGTAGCTTAATATATGTGCTAGTGGACGGTGCTGAGGCTGTCGGTGTGTCCCTGGCCTGATCGAAGCTCTATTTTTTTTTTTTTTTTTTTTTTAAATTCTAGCTTTGAAGAGGATCCCATGGTTGACTAATAAAAAGAAAATACCGGGATCGAAACGTCAATAAACAGAAGAAATGAACATTAATTAGTTTATTAAATAATAATTAAGTGACCTTATTCCCAATAAAATAGTGAAGTTTGAATTTAATACTCAAAGGTCGATGAAGGAAAAGTTGTAAATATATATATATATATATAATATATATATATATATATATATATATATATATATATATATATATAGAAAGAAAAAGCAAAACCTCCAGAAAAGAAAATATATCAAAAGTACGTAAATAAAAAGTATTTACTTGTTATGTTAAACCCCAAACAGCTAAAACATAACAAATATATTCATAGATTAAAGATATATTAATGACAGAAGATATGCAACGAGATCACAATATTACATTACCCCGGCATAAGAGATATAAAATAAGAATAAATAGATAAATATAATTGAGGCGTTGACAGTGAAAAGGTTGTGAGTGGCAAAAACACGAAAAAAAAATGTTTTTCGTTAAAATAAAACTATGTTCTGTCGCCAGTGACACTGAAAAGAGAGTAACTGCCAGATGACCTTAGTTCTCTTTTGATGACAAAAATAATGCTGGTTTTAACTTAAGGGGGATTTTGCATTGATAAGGTAGTGTATGTTAAAATGCGAAAAATCACGCCCAAGGCACAAAAACCCCATGCTAGGTTTCGGCGAGTTTAAGTGGTAAGTTAAGTTTTTAAGAAAACTTAAATTAAAACTTTATAAGATAAGATATTGTTAGTAAAACTTCATCGATTAGTAAATTGAGCTAACCTGCATAAGGCGAAGATTGCAGCAACGCTTTTCCAGTCGCTGTGAGATCCAGGTCAGCTACCGCAACGGATATCACATAGGACATACTTCCAGTCACGAAGACGGATGTGGATGCCACTGGGAAGGTTAGCAGGATTATCATCCAGTTGAACTTGCCGCATCCTAAGAAAAATAATAAATAAAAAATATTTATTAAATAAATAAAAAAACAATAAAAAAAAAAATTCAAATCGAAAAAAAATATCTCGAAATGAAACAGTATGTAACGGCCAAATGGGTTTAAATATTTTTTTTAATGACAAACGGAGTTGAGATTCTTTTTTCGCATCTCGACAAACCCTCAAATACGAATTTTCATTGCATACGAAAAATAAAAATTTTTTACCTCAAATTCGTCTTCCTTTCAATTATTTTTAAAAAATCACAAAAGTTGTTATAACTGCAATATGGCTCTACTTAATCACCCGAAAATTGGCATGAATTTAGGGCCCTATAATATACACGAAATGGCACAAACCAGAAGTCCGTAAATACATTAGGCTTGGAGATATAATGTTACCTAAAAAACTATTAATAAAAAAGTGCACAATTTTTTATTGCTTTTACTCATCTTTATTTGAAATTTTCTTTGATTCCCTGCAAATAAAAAAAAAATCACTAAAATCGGACGAATTGGTGCAGAGATATAATACTTTAAACATCTAGTAATTTTTTGTGAGACATTTAGAGACCGATTGCTTCTTATATAGACAATTATATGTTGCAAATTCCAGAGTTGCAAAACCAGACAATCTATACAAATATCGCATATTATATCGCATATTCAAAAGTATTGTTATATAAAATATATTATAAACATCTAATTTATTTTCTAATTATTTTTTTTATTTAATCAGAATGAGGCACAGAAACGTGTGGCGGGGTACAGCTAGTTATTTAATAAAAAGAATAGAAAAACTGGAATTTGGAACATATTATATTAAGAATAACTAGATTATAATAAAAAAAATAGTTGTTTTTGGTCCAACATATTGGACAGTTTACTACCCAAAATAATTAAAAACAATTTGAAAAGTAAGAATCAACATATTTTCAATTGAAAATAAATAGATAATAATAAATAAATAAATAAGCAGGAAACGTAAACCATAAAAACATATATTTACATATATTATTTGAAAAATAAAAATACTATCCTTTACACTATAAGGTATATCGGAATACATAAATTAATATAATTATAAGTACTTGCCTGTTTTATTTATGGCTGTCTCCAAGTCGATTGTATTAACTGAGGCTATCGAACCTGTAATAAAAAAATAACAATGTTTAAAATTTCACATATATTTTTAAAAGCTAATTTTAATTCAATGTAAACTAATTTTATAATCTAGTAATCTATACCAATACGGGCATGTCTAAACTCAGTGTCGATGAGCTTGTCGAAGTCATCAGAAATCTAATAGACCGTTCTAAAATTCATGACAAAAACAATTGCTTGAAGAAAGCTATCGGCTACTTTAGTTTTTTTTTTCCTCCGAAGATTCTCGACTAATAAACATATTACGTACAAATCGATTGGAAAACGAGAATCGACTGAAAGATATAACAATTTGACCTCATGAAAAGTATAATTAGAATTATGTAAAATTTTACTTGAGATAAGGATATTCGTATCTTGTTCCTATTAATTTATGTTGTTTAATATGAAATACAAATATGTATTTTTGATGTAATTCTGTTAATATTGACTCGAGTCAACGAACCAGCCATTTCCTACATTTTATCTTAAATGATTTTTGTATAGATGTGTTGTCTAGTGTCAAGATACAACGATAGAAGTAATATTGCTATTTTTTCTACATTGTGATCGTTATAGTAGGTATATCATGATTTTTTTTTTGTAAAGTTCTTAATTTAAAAACCATTCATTATAATTACAAGATAGGTGTTAAAGTACAAGATAGGTATAATGATAACGGAAAGATTTTGGTTAGAAAACTGCCTTACAATGCAGGCTTATTATGTATTGGCTATTCCATATATGTTTATTGAATACCACTAAGTATATTTTTATTTTCACATGACCATGCCTTGCAGCGTTATTGGAAGATATGATATTGTATTAATTGTTTCTATTTTGTTTACTATGCTTAAATTATCTCAGTAATACGAAAGATCCATTTTGGTTCAAATCCGGACTGGACATCTTCCAGGTTCCGTAGAAAACCAATAAATCAACATATTTAAATAAATAAGGACGCCTTATAACAACAAATGATAGTATTTTTTTTTACAAATTAAAATGTGCCTATTTCCTTCAATGGGTGCATGCTCCCCTCCAATGAAATCTTATTACTTTTCTCTCCTTAAAAACAGTGCAGCCAAAGTTAAATTAAAGAAAATTTTTATTCATATTAAATTATTATATTTTTTTCTAGGTCTCAGGTTTGAAAGTTCCTCCCAATTGAAAATCTACAAATAAAATTTCCTTCAAAAATTCACAAACTCATCAAAATGTAATACCCCATATATTCACTGTAGGGGTGTCTGACCCACAGACTAACACGTGTGATCTTAGAGTCACGTGTTCCATTTCTTCTACGTCTTTATTGGTGATTTAAATTACTCTTATTATCTTCAATGTTCTTTTAAGACGTATTATAATATATAAATAAAATAATGCCACTATTTAATCTTCAAAGATTAGTGTCATTATCTAGACTCTCAGTCCAGACATGTTTAGGATTAATGGCGTATGATTTAGATTTTTTTTATAAATCATATCTAGTTATAACTTTTATATTAATGAAAACATGTGAATCAACTCCATTTAAGATTGCAATTGTTTCTTATTTTAATAATTAATATATGAATAAATGTAAATATAATATATTTAATAATTTTCCCTTTCCAGTGGTGCGTTCCATCTCTCCAACAAATTTTCCATCTCTCAGAGTCTTGCCTTATCCTCCATATTTGGGGAAAAGGAATCGGAGCTTCCTCGGCTGATTGTAAATAAGCATGAATATTTTTTTTTTTTTTTGTATTTTTCTTTAGGTTGAATCAAGTTTCATTTCTTTTGTTTTACTAAGTTTTTTTCCATTCTTTTGTTATAATTTTTCTATTGTTTTTGTTATTGTATATATGGTATGAATAAGCCTTACACAACTGTAATATTCAATACCAGTTTAGACAGTCTAAAAAAATATTTTTTTTGGCTGAATTTGAGGGATATATTTATGATCACAATTTTTTTTTAATAGATATAACTTTTATTTTTAGCTGTAGATTAGTTTTCAGTAATTAAAATGAGGAATAAGATATTTTCCAATGAATAATTGATTTTAAAAAATATGGCACGACGAAAAAAAAATTTCACGCACCTTCAATGGATTTTTACAACATATTACATGCAAAATATATTTTATTTATTTTTGAAAAAAATTAACAATAATAATAACCGTTAGTCTTACGCAAATGGCTTTATTTTATATTAATTCAGAATGCCCGACATGCTATAATAAATTCCGATTTTCAAATATATTGCATAAGTTGACAGGGTTTTTGCTATTTTTATCCCTTTGCCGAACACTGTGCTTAGATAAAATTTTGAATACTAGCTCACACTAGTAGATCCAGGATTTAATTTTGGGGGGGAGGGCTTCAGCCTGAAAGATTTTTTTTTTCATATACATATAACGATAATTAATATGAATAAAAAGAGAAAGAAATTAACTACCTATACGAAATGGTGTTTAAGTGGTTCTTGAAGTCTTATTAAAAGAACAAGAACACTTTAAGAGGTAGTTTTTAATATTTTTTTCTGTAAAACATGATTATATTTTACCATTTTGGGGGGAGGGCTACACCCCGAAAGCACTCCCCCCCCCGCCGTAGATCCGCCTGTGCTAGCTCATAATAGCTCATTCCAAAGAGAATGAAATGATGAACATTTCCTTTCATGAAAATATGCAGATACGATTTTTACTTTTTGAGATATTTAAATAAATATACAAAAATACTACAATTAGTCAACTCCAGCCGACTTTACCCGAGTGTTACACATCTGAGATCTGACGGCTCAATTTAATACACTCTCCACAAAAAAGTATAAAACCTAAAGAAGTTTTAACTTCAATAATACTTTCATAAAATCAAGTCCAAAAATTAATATTTTTTTTTCAAAACCAATTTGTGTATTATTTATATTTTATTCTCGACTCTTATAGTCCATGAAAGTTAGGAGAAAAACAGCCTTACCACAACATTAAAAAAAAAAAAACAGATGAAACTTGTCAGAAATTGTTCCTTAACTTCCACATAATAACTGGTAAAAAGTCCCACAAAATCCCATGTCGTGTTTTGATGAGGGAAGTGGAGAAAGGGCAGAAAACTGACATTTTTTTAGTTTTTTTGAAAATATCTCAAAAACTATGAAGTTTTTCGCAAATATTGTAGATTACAATATTAGAGTACTGTAAAATCTCTATAAAAATAATCCTATATATATTTTCGATAAAATCAATGTTACGGAGATATTTATGAGGTTATATTTATTGAATTTCCAATTTATGCAAAAATGGCCTCAAAGCACAAAATTGATGTTCGTAGTAGACGATATCTTTTTGAAGTTTAATCATTTTTTTAACATTTTCGATCGTTCAAATTATTATTAAAAGTTTCTTTTTTTAATGATTCTTAAAAGTCATTGACAATAGAACCACGGGCGAATCTATGGGGGAAGGGAGGCTTTCGGGCTGAAGTCTCCCTCCCCCCCCTCCAAAATGGTAAAGTATAACCATTTTATATGGAAAAAATATAAAATAATTATCTCTTAAACTATTATTGTTCGTGTAATTACATTTAAAAGGACTTTAGGAATCCCTTAAACATCATTTCATATAGGTAGTTAGTTTCTTTCTTTTTTTTCCAAAGTAATTATCGTTATTTTTATGAAAAAAAAAAGCTTTCGGGCTGAAGCTCCCTCCCAAAATTAAATCCTGAATCCGCTAGTGAACAGAACTATAATCGATATCAATCGGGAATTTCGTGATAATGATATGAAGTTTAGATTTACATTAATTTAATATAATTGATAATATATAATGTTCGCTAATAATAAAATCAAGTTGTAAGACGCTTTGGCTTTGAATTTACTGTCTATAAGAATACGTTTTGTTTCAAAAGAGCAGGCATTTTAATGCACAGGGTCATGATTTAGCAATCAGGAAGTGAGAGACGAAAATCAATAAAATAGAAAAAAAAAATGCTTGCCCCTTAAAGAAATATTTTCGTAGCAAGGACACACACAATCAGTGACTTTTTTTAGTTTTATAGAAGTAATCATAAATAAAAAAATATATATTATTTAATTTAACTCACATGTCCTATCAGGTTTTTCTTCAACGTTCTCCTGCGTATGAACTACCATCTTACACACAACCTAACTGTCTCGCTCGCTGCACATGAAGTAATGAGATAAAAAATTCAGTTGATATCTCTCTCTCTTTTATGAAATCTGTCCGAGTTAAACAAATATATTAAATCTCCATTGTCGCATTTAAATCAAAAGTCAGAACCCCTACTACATAGAATTTATCTTTGCCAAATATCCTTTCTTGATAACGAAATGAAATTTAGTAACATCGGCGTTGTAGGAGCTAATATCATTTCTATAATTATGTACCTTCATAATAACGTATTAATGTTTCTCTAAAAACACGACTTAATGAATGTTTTCATAAACACCTTCTTTTTCTGGAGATTATATGGGAATCATGTAACTTACGATTCACACCAGGGAAAAATTTACAACTACTATTTCTCATTTTAGTTTTTTTTTTCTGTATAACTCTGTTACTCTTAGGTTACTTCATCTCAGAATAAAATAATTTTTTCTATTATATTATATTCTATAAATAAGGTAACCCGTAAGCGGAGGGAAACTTTTATAAGAATGAAGACCTGAAGAGCTACAAAAAAAAAACAAAAAAAAAACTAAGGTGTATGCTTTAGAACACACGATAGAAGTTAAAACATCAACAAGGCGAGATTAATAATATGAAATATAAATTATAAATAATAGATCATTATAAAGAGGATAAAATTCTTTCGCTTATAGTATACAAGTCTGATTTTTAGTTTTGAATAATATTTCATTAAAAAAGAGGATGAAATGATGAATATTTCCCTTATTAATAGTGTTGCTCAAATTAGAGACCGAGACAAGTCTTTGTCTAGCAAACTTAATCTTGGTCTCACGCTAGAGTCTCGCAGTTACCTATTGATGTATTAATATAGAGATATTACTATACTTTTTTATATAGGAGAAACCTAACTAAGCCGGAATGAAAAATTAGAAGAGTAAAATGCAAAAGTATATTGTTTATACCAAGTCTTTACATATCTATATAAATAAAATAAAGATTTTGTTTGTACATTATATTAAGGTTTGCTTGACTTAAAACATAGGCTTTTAATTAAAACAAAATATTGAGTATAATCAAGGTTATGAATTCTTGAGTAATTTGTCCAGAGATCTCGGTTAATGTTGGTAATAAATGTTAAGAATAAACACATGTTTACAGGTTAAAGAACATCTATATAAATAAAGTAAAGGTTTCGTCTGTACATTGAATAGAATCAACCTGTTTCATCATATTTTTCCGTTTTATATATTACAGACACCAAATCCACTTTAAAAAATATTTTTTGTCTGTCTGGATGTCCCCATTTTCCAACGAAATTTTATCAGGCGTAAGCTCGGCAATGGCTAATGGTAGACTTTTTAAATTTTGACATTACATTTAGGTTTGCTTGGCTTAAAATATATCGAATTTTAACTATACACCAGTCAACGACAGGCACATCAGCTAGTAATAAATAAATTGTAAAGTATTAGTAACTATTTTGCCTCAATTTGTATTTTATTAAATCGATTAATTTTTCTCAGTTTTGGTCTTGGTCTTGCAACAGTTATGTTTTCTTGGTCTTGGTCTTACAAAGTACAAGACCAAGACCGATTTTGGGCAACACTACTTACTAACAATATGCAGGTATGATTTTTAGTTTTTTAGATATTTTATTCCATATGCAAAAAATACTTCAATTAGTCTACTCCAGAAAACATTACCCGAGCGTTAAACATCGGAAATCTGACGCCTCAATCTAATTTACCCTCCACAAAAAATGCAAAACGCGCCTTAAGATGTTTTTACTTCAAAACGTTTGTATAAACAATTACAATTTTCAGGTTTGTGTTTGTGTTTTTTTAAATGTTATATTTTTTGTTGAATATGAAGCAATAACTAAAGAAATGTTTAATTTAAGTAATTATCAATACCAGACTGAAACGAAAAGAAACCGCTCGACGTTTCCGATTACTTCAGCACTTCCTAGACAAACGCTCTAAACTTCCAAATAATTACAAACGAGTCATATACATGACTCGTTAAGGCCTAAATAAGGCCTATATATACATATATATCCTCCAGGTCCCAGGTTTGAATCTCGGCTCATGGCAGAAAAATTACTTATTCCGTTTCATTGATAGTGAGACCAGCCTGTGATAGAAAATCCTGCTGGGACACACCCAGCCTTTACAAAGTCGATACTCTTAATTAAATAATTGATAAAGGAGAAAAATCTGGCGGTTGAGCGTGTACTGAACCCAAAGACCCTTGGATTGAATGCAATTGATTGTAGTGGTACAGGTTTTTATTTTTTAGTTCAGATTTTTATAATTTATATAAATATATATATACTAGTAGGCCCGTGCGAAAAATTCGCACAGCATATAGTTATCAAATGCCAAATTAATAAGAAAAGAAAATAATGCAACGAATCAAAAGAATAAGAAACCAAACGTTACTTTATCGATAGATATAATCGAAAAAGAAAAAAAAAATTAATTTAAATGTTCATTTTTGTTTGGAACCAGCATATTTACAAATTTCAGTAAGCTGTATCTTTGCTAAAAATTGTCCTATTGTGCTAAAAAGGGAAAAGTGTGTAATTTTTTAGTTATTCGCAAATAAAGTTTGTTTTCTTTCATAACTTGTTTGCCTGAATTTTCGGGATGATTGGACTATTTTGCCCGCCTGAAGGGGAAGGAAGCCTTCGAAATTGGTGGCTCAATCTTGAGATTTGGTGAAAAATTAACTACGATATGGCTTGTCGATCAAAAACACCATCGATAAATAATATAAACCCCTCCTCTCTCGATCATAGAGACCTCAAATCGACGAAATGAGACATGTATTCAATGACAGTACTACAATTAATGTAAGTTTGTCTGGATGCGAACCCTATGCCTTGCGTTATCTCGAAAATAGTACGTTTTTGGGCTTAAAACGCAGGGTCTTGCTGTATGTATCAAAATCTTCAAGATCCAATTTGTCTCATATCGATCTACAGACCTACCACCGTTCCAGTATTGAAGCCTAGGAAAATATTTTTATCGACTTTATTTATTTTAGAAAGAAAAACCAAAGTGGAGAATACTATTCGCTAACCCCCGTGAAATTCTGAATCCATCGGTATACCATTCATGATATTTGAACATGACAGGAGCTTATATTTGATACAAAACCGATTTCGAGCCTTACTGTAATAATATATATGGGATGGGATGTGAGATGGAATAATTTTTTTATTTTTTTTCGGTTGGCTCTACAGACCTTGTAGATCTTTGGCCGCCTAAACCAGCCTTCTCCACCTCTGCCTATCTTGGGCTACTGCTTTCCAGCTTGCGGCATGAAGCTCACCTGTATCTTTGTTTATCCTATCTATCCATCAGGTTTTTACTTCCCACGTGTTCTCTTGCCTACTAATATATATATATATATATATATTATATATATATATATATATATATATATATATATTATATATATATATATATATATATATATATATATATATAAAGTAAATAAAAAACTGAAAGTCAGTGTGCGACACTCATGTGACTCATTTGGTAATCCTTACTGGATACTAACTTAAAATGATACTAAGATTTAAATTAAGAATCTTGGAGTACATGCAAATACATCATTGAACTTATTGATTTCAAATAAATTAACAAACATGCATAAAAATAAATCTACTTTTTTAAAAGAACTAACAATACAAATGTTTGTTTTCATTGTTTACTAGAAGCGATGTTATAACTTAGGCTTGTTAATTCATAACAAACAAGATAGCCTGTCATAAATTATGAAATAAACATGAAAAAAGGAATTTACGGAGCTATCAAATATTGTAAAAGACACTACGAAAAGGAGAAAATACCAGTTATATGGTTATCAAAACATAATGATGTAACGCTAATATGTACATAATGTACGCTTAACTTTGAATGAATACATAATTGGGATGGTATGATTCTTCTACGGCAATGATTTGGGTTTTTATCTACTTTGCTTTGCTTGCCTTCTCAAGCCTGATCCATCTCTGCCTGTCTTGGGCTATTTCTTTCCATTTATCTGCACGCAGCTCTATTGTATCTTTTATCTATCCATCTGATTTTCACCCTTTTGTATTTAATGTATTAGGTTTAAATTTTAATATATCTCTTTGAACTCAAAATCCCAATAATATTATTTTTTCATTTGATAGAAAATTGTATCCTTTTTGAATTAACTTATTGTTGTATTAGGGTATTTGGAGAGAAATTTCATCAACAGGTATTTTTTTATATCGATTAGCATATCATTTCCCTCATCTTTCATCGCACAAAACAAAAAATATTTGATTTTAATATTTTTTTTTTATCGAAATTTACAACTGTATTAAATGATAAATACAACGAGTAACATGGCATGTATAGCATGAAGAGAAACTACCCATTGGTAGCACTCCAATTATAATTCTATATTAGAAGTTCCCGAGGCCATCTTCTTTTCGGCCACCTCGAAAGGTTATCAGGAATTGAAGAGGAAGCAAGAGGGTTCGGATGGTTCAGAAATTTATCATGGAAGGATAGGTATCTGGATTAAGCTAAATCGGAAACATATGGTACATTAAGGTCGTTATGGATGATTTTATTTGTGACAAAGTAAGGAGCATTAAAGATTTTACAAAGGATTTTGGATTGTAATGATTGGATAGGAGAGGAATTTGATGGTTTAGTAGAGCCCCAAAGCTCGATCCCGTAAGTCCAAATAGACCTTATTATAGTAATATATATATATATATATATATATATATATGAGTCTTTTGTAAATAGTTGGCAGTTTAGAGCGGTTGTCTAGTAAAAACTGGATTAGTCGTAACTGTCTGGCGGTTTCTAGTCGTTTCAGTCTGGTATGAGGGTTCCAAGTGAGTAGTTTGTCCTGGTGGAGTCCTAAGTATCGGATTTGTTCAAAAGGGATAAGTGGGCTATTGTCAAAAGATACTGCAGGACAGGAAGTGATAGGTTCACAAATATTTTATTTACATTATAATAAATCTCTTCAAACTCAAAAGTCCATAAATATTATTTCATAATCTGATTTCATGTTTTGTTCAGTGT